ATAGCGGGAGTGGGAGCGGCGAGCGACGACAGCAGTGACGAGCGACGATTGTGGCAGCAGTGAGAAGTCGGCGAGCAACGATTGTGGCAGCGGCGACTAGCGACAGTGGTAGCGGCAGTAGAGAGCAGCGAAAGCGGAGAAGAAATCTCGACGGCAAAATCGCGAGTGTTAGGGTTAAGGAAGTCGGGGAAAACGCGAGAGGGAGCCTATCGGTGATTTAGTTGGTTCGATTGAACCAACTAAAGCACCGGAGATCAAACCAGACGTAAAACATTGGTTCGATCGCCTGGTTTAACCTGGGCGCTCGCCCGAAGCACCCGACACCTGGGCTCGGGCAAACGCCTAGGCGGTGCCTCGTTGAAGCGAGGCGCTTGGACATGAAGTGAGACGCTCGGGCCTCGCCTAGCCCGAGCGCCTATTGAAATCACTGACGTCACCAAGGCGATGTCGTAGAAAAATGAGGCAACGTCGCCTATATATATATATATATATATATATATATATATATATATATATATATATATATATACCACTCGATAACATGCGATCCGTGTATCAGTCTACTAGCGGACTGGTACGTACTATTCGAAATTGAAGACCTTGGTCTAGAATATGTTTACACGTAATATAAGCATTACATGATACCAAAAACTCACCAAAGCCACGCAGGAAGTTCAACTACAATTCCCATTTAAACAAGGCATCTTTAGTTAATTTAAATATGCAGTACCTCTCATCCTCATATGAACCAAACACAAGGAACCGCACGACTTCCTACTTCCCACAATTCATCACTTACAAGACCAATTACATGGAACTATAGACACCCTAAGTGTAAAATCCCCATGTAGGATGGGTAATTCTTGCTAGAAAAAAACTCTCTGTATCATATCAGTTTGTGATCTGTCAACCCAAGGTTGAACAAACAAAAATTTCTTTCTGATTGCTAGCAATAACAGTAGGATTGTACAGTATGCTGGTAACAATGCTTTAAATATTATTACTGGTACCCATGCAAAAATCTTATCCTTGGTAGCATATATGGTAGCTCTAATACCAGTCACTAGTGCTCAACCCAAGGGATCAACCCTAATTAATAGGAAAAAACCAAAGTGAACCTCTACCAATGTGGCTGTCAATGCTTGTTTGAGAAGCCCATGGATATTTGTACACCAAACTGATTGGATCCATATCGAAATATGAAAACCTTTCTTCATGTCATTTTTCTCATCAGTTTAAGAAATGAGGTTTGTTTGTGTATATACAGCATGAATGGTCATACTTATGTTGTTGAGTTTCACTCGCCATAGAATCTTAACCATAGGTTAACAAACTGGGTGAACTAGTATATACCACCCAGTAAGTCCTGTGAACTGGGCTTACCACCTGGTTCAGGCCCGTTACCAGGCCTAGACCGGACAATAAGCTCATGCAGGGTGAGATGACTCATAGGGACTCGTCGGGGTCTCTTTTTGAGTCAATCAAGAGGGTTGAACGGTCCTCATTCCAGTTTCTTTTCCCCTCTTGTTCCTACTCCCTTCCCCCAAAACTCACCTAAATTCTCACAAATCCCAATCAGAAGGGTAGGTCCAATCTCTCGAGACAGTTGAAATTGAAGATTTGACTGGATTCTTCAAATTAGGTAAAACCAAACTACTTGGTTATTTAATTAGGTTCAATTAGGTCACGATTAATATTTTAAATTCGAAACTACTTTGTTAGTTTAATTACTTTAATTAAGATTCAATCAGGTCACAATTAGTGTCACTTCTTCCATGCATCTTTAGTTTGCACTATATTTGGGGCTTGATTAATAATGATCAAGCCTTAACCTTGCAGATCTAACCTACATCTACACGGTTCTAAGTTGGATCCTCGTGGATCTAAATTTCATCATAGCTGAAATAGATTAGATCCATATGGATCTAACCTTGGATTCCACAGATATAGGGAAGATCCATTTGTGTCTAGCTTAGATTTTACGAACCATTCAGGTCTAAATCTAGCCTAGTTGGATCTAACCTTGGATTCTGCTGATCTAGGCAAGTTCCATCTGGGTCTAGCTTAGATCTTATGGATCTCGCCAATAACCATTCGAGAAGCTAGTCTATCCACTATAGCATGCTTCTTAGGCTGTGCTGTGTTATCATTGGTAACAATGATGATCTTACTAGTTAGTATCACAACCACCGATGATCTTAATACAACCAACAATCAAGGAGAGCACCATACAACAATAGACTCTGGGCAACCATGACCATCAATAACACTACCTTAATTGCTGGAAAAGGATAAAGCCTTGGCGATGCCAACTCCGAGAAGATGGATCTATCATAACCAGTGATTTAAAAAGCGCTAGGCGCCAAAAGGCGCCAAGGTCCAAAAACACCTGAGGCACTAGGCGCTCGCCCAGGCGCTCACCCGAGCGAAACAAGGCGCTAAAATATAAAAATATATAATATAATTAATATAATTATTTAAATAAAAAATATGCTATTAAATTAAGAAAATCGAATACAAAATCACAATGTCATATTAATAAAAAGTCTCAAAAATTAAAATAATAAAATTTTACATCAAATCTATTGAGTTGCTCTGTACATTTGCCATTTATTCTGAAACCTAACAATAATTTTAAATAAATAAAAATTAATAGTATTAAAATCAAAATAATATATTATTAATCTAATAAATAAAAATACTATTATTAGTATACAGTTAACTGTTAATATACTGTTAACAGTATAGTGAGAAGAGTGTGAGAAGACCGAGGCTGCTAAGGCAACGACAGCGGGAGCGGGAGCGGCGAGCGATAGCGTGAGCGGGAGCTACGAGCGACAGCGGGTGTGGAAGTGGGAGCGGGAGCTGCGAGCGGCAAGCGGCGACAACAACGATGAGCAACGATTGTGGCAGTGGCAAGTAGCGACAGTGGCAGTGGCAGCAAAGAGCAACGACAACGGAGAAGAAATCTCGACAGCAAAATCGCGAGTGTTAGGGTTGGGGAAGTCGGAGAAATTGTGAGAGGGAGCCTATCGGTGATTTAGTTGGTTCGATTGAACCAACTAAAGCACCGGAGACCGAACCAGACGTAAAACACTGGTTCGGTTGCCTGGTTTAACCCGGGAGCTCGCCCGAAGCGCCCGGCGCCTGGGCTCGGGCGAGCGCCTAGGCGGCGCCTCGTTGAAGCGAGGCGCTTGGACATGAAGCGAGGCGCTCGGGCCTCGCCTCGCCTTGCCCGAGCGCCCGAGCGCCTATTGAAATCACTGATCATAACTTGACTCCCCTCAGATACTAAAAAATTATAGATCAACAAGAGACCAACTTATGTATTGTCCCTAATCTAACAAAAACAACTGAAACTAATTCACGAACCTAAACAAGAGTATCCATCCAAAGTAAGGTTCTGAATACCATATCGTACCAGCATACCGATCAGCTATCGACATGGTATGTACTGAGTTATACCGAACATACCAACATACAGTACATTAAGGTATACTGAGATACTGCCCATACTGGTTCTCTATCAGACTGGTATGTACCACCCGTACCGGGCGGTATGGTACGGTATTGCAAACCATTCTAAACATACCTATTCAAAACCTTCAAACAAGAAAACATAAAATCTTATTCGAAACTATGGTGAAAACAGAAAGAATAGCATAGGCTATTACTGCAAGGATCCTTGGACACATTGGGCCAAACCTTCTCAACTTTGAGACCATTGGTTTACTTATATAGGTATCAATACAAATTCTGAAAAGCATATATTTGGTCAGTCAAAGTCATCACCTATAAAGTTTCTGGAAAATATATTTCATTCACTTGTGAAACTACTGTTCTAACTTCTAAGTATCCTACCTATCAATATCATATTCAATGGTTTTAAGGATAAAAATCAAGACAAGATAGCTAAAAGCTTAAGTTGGAAATGCAGACTTAAGGTAGCCAATGTTCCATGCCCATGCATCATTTTGAACCATGGAAGCGCAGACTGCACTGCAGTATTAAAGTCTTTTATTAGAGGCATGATATTACATTTCACAGGAAGTCAGCATTAGCCATCTTTTGACTTAATTACTTGCACAAGTATGACAAGAATTAAATATCAAAACTTCCTTGCACTTGTGAGATGTGTACAATCAGACAATATTAATATGTCATCAAGTCCTAGAAGCAAATACAGTGCATGAGCTGTTAATCAACTTCAACCAAAATTTTTTACTTGAATTGAACATCTCAATGAGATCAAATTTGCTTCGACAGTACACTAAGAAATAATTTTCTAATTTAACCTAATAGTTACTTCCCTTAACATGTCAAGGAAAAGAAAATCAGTAAGAAAGAAACAAGTAGCTGACATGCAAGAGAAAATATAGGAGGTTGCAGCTAAATCTAGAAAATAAATATACTTCTAAAGCCATTCCAATGATAAAATTTGTTTGTACATGAAACAGTGATGAAACATAAACAATTCAAAATGCAGGACAGACATAAAGAACCTATCAGGTATACATATGTTCACATGAAATAGCAACAAATATCCAGATGATCTAGAGTTAATTAACAAGGATGGAACATCACATCAAGCATCAAAGTTACATAACTATTCAGATCATCCATACTATTCAAATAAGAAATAAGAAAACTATATCACATTTATTGAACCTACATTCAAGGGATCCAATGATGTCCAAGACATATTCCTCTCCAAAAATTCTATCAAAGACCTGAGGGCTGTTCAGACAAACTGCAGATGATGGAACAATCAACTTATTAATGTTACTAATGAAATAGATCACGAACACAAGAAAAGGAAATATCATAAGAAGCAGAGATACTCACATATTGCTTTAACCAATCTGAAAATCATGTAAAGACCATCCATATTTTTTACCTTCTCACACATTCTGAAAAGGTCTATTAGCTTTGGGAAAAACTCCTGCTGCAGCATAGAATGGAAAAAAAATATGTAGTAAAAAAATATAACCCATATATGGATAAGTTTGTAAGATTTAGCATTATTCATATTTAGTTTCCTTTGCCACATATGACAGTATACTACTATATTTCACTTTGGTTATTGAATACCTTGCTCACAGCCAATCCATCAAGCTATAAAAATAATCAAAATATGATAGAATCGCTGTACTAAAATCAGTTGAGTAAAACACAACACTAAATCACCTCCCAATACAAAGCTTCTATCCTTAATCCAAGTCTAGTCCGAAAATGTCTAGTTGGACAAAAGCAGGAAGTGGCATTTTGTTAAAATTGCCAACTTCAAATTGTTTGGTCCACACCAAGTCATCTAAAAAGTCATTTTTCATACTAACTACTCAGTGATCAAATTCACATTTTAGTGGTTATTGCTAAGGCATCTTCGAACGATAAACTAAAAGTCAAGTTATCACTATTTATCAACAACTTACCATGAGATTTGGCTACAGTCATTGTACTGCATAGCCAGCAACACTGAGTAGTTGATGGCCAGTCAACAACTGCTTAACACTACAGTCAGCAACAGGCAATCAATGGCTGGCTGACTATTTATTGTTTATTACCAAATCTCAACCCACTAATTACCACCAATGGCAGATTAAAGTTTGAGTTTTAGAAGAATACACAGGTTGATTATCCTAATCCAGCTTAATTTTGTTCTTACCTACTAATCCAATTAGTTAACTAGTGTAATCTTCATTATCAAAAGAAAAGGAGAGGATTATTTTAACCTACCCCCTTGGCGAGTCATTTTATCCCAGGTAATTCAGATTAAATATTTTTTTATGGAACGTCCTTGTTCTTAATGATACATTGTTTGGCAGGTTAAACTTGTAACCACCAGTTTAAGACTCCTTAACCCTGAGCAAACAACTCAAATGGCAGACCTACAATCCATCAATGATCATCATTAGCTAACATTTGACCTGCCGATGAACCAGTTATCAATAACCTACCTACTTACAAACAATATTATCAACCATCAATGAGAATGGTTGAGACACTATATCACTGCTAGTCACTGATTGGATGGCCAAACAGCCACAAACACTGTCAATACTGGTTAATAAACACTGAGGACCACCATCAGTTAACTATTAACCTACCATCAATTGCCAGTCAACTAGAAACCATTTTTAGCATTGATCCAAACAACCAGTGATTTTTTAACTGCATAGGTCCCAATGATCAATTGGTTGATAGAAATTAAACCAAGTTTGTCTTGATCATTTCCATGATAAAACATACAATACTCTTTTGAAAGGTCACTCTCAAAAGGTAACTTCATTGACTTAACTACTGAAGCATAATTAACAAAGCCCCAAACAAAAAAAATGCCATAAATTGTACAGAACCTACCATCTCTCCCCATATTCCTCTTTCTTCATAGCAAACTAGCACATTCTGGCAGAAGTCACATTCGCATTACTGGCTTTTCAATTTTATGGTTCTTTTCTTTTGCCCTATCCATAATCCTATGTTCCATTATACCAGTAGAACCAAGATATACAGTTTCGAATGATACCGCCCAATATGAGCGGTATGTACCGATCCGACAGTAAACTAGGTAGCGAACCACTCGCTACCGGGTGATATTTTTTTATAAATAAATAAATTATATATATATATATATATATATATATATATATATAAAGGTGATGTCGCCTTTCTAAAAAGTTATATATTTAAATATAAATATATATAAATATATAAATAAATAGATATATAAATAAAAGATTATATATATATATAAGCAACGTCGACTCGTTTTTCTGCGACGTCGCCCCGCTTGGGGAGAAGAGAGCGACATCACTTTTTTTTTTGAACTTTTATATATAAATACATATATATATATATAAAGGCGACGTCGCCTCATTTTTCTACGATGTCACCAAAGCGACATCACCGAAATTTTTTTTCTTATATATATATATATATATATATATATATATATATATATATATATTCTGAATGATATACCGAGCGATATACCGCTCGGTATACAGTACCATACCGTACCGAGAGAATATCGAAACTTTGATATAGTATGATATTTCAAACCTTGAGTAGAACAGTACCCTAGGCAACATTATCATGGCACAAAGGTTTAACCTCTGCAATACCAAGCCAAAAGTAACTCTTTTGCCTGGCTGTAGAGTGTAGAACAAGAGACACAAAGGTTCTTTAACTTCTTTCAGTATGCTGCCTAATAGGCTGCAAGCATAGTTCAATCGAATAATGGCACCTATAACCCCCAAATCAAGATAATGCTTCTGCTCTCTAAATAAACTTGCCATAATAATACTTTCTATCACAAAAGGAGTAACCAAATCTGTAAAAGGGACAAAGAGAAAGAGAACTGGTTTCAAGTATATAAAAAAAAAACAGAGTAAACGGTGATCTTTGATAGCACCTCTACGCCTACTTTCCACAATTCTAAATCCTCTCATAGTCTCATTTAACTTCTGGACTTGCCGAATAGTGATCAATAGAGTGGCAAGAGAAGATTGCTTGTGGCACCAAGTAAGATTTTCATTCCTAATTCTTTAATTGCCCCATTTGATGCTCATGTCGCATCCCAAACCAGCCATTCTCTAGCCTGGTGGATGCGACAAAAACAAATATCCGTGCTTATAAAAAAGTTGCATATATGTGGAAGTGCATCATCATATATTTTATGATGAAACAAAATGTCAATACACACCTAAATGCTTTGCAAACAAAAAAGAAAAAAATATGACAATGATCTAACATTGGATCAATGGAATGGAATAAAACATTGGCCATCACAATATATAACTAAAATCATATAATTGTTGAAGGAAATAGATATAAATGGAAGAGGAATGAGTGAAGAGGAAAACTCTTCTGCTGCTCATTGGGAATTTAAGAAAGTGAGGAGAGAGAAAGCAAAGAAGAAGAAAAAGGAGAGAGAGAGAGAGAGAGGAAAGAGGCCTTCTTCACTTTTTGATGGAAATCCTACAAGAAACACTTGGTAGTAGATACACATTCTTCAAGTGCTCAAACAAGAAGTATCTTTTTTAGCATGCATGAATCATTGACTACATGCTCTCCCAACTTCTCTTCATCCTTGCTAAATGCCACATCCCCATCTCAAATTTAGACAGTAACAAATTCCTCGTAAAAGGAATAAGACTGTTTAGGGTTTATGTATACAAAAAGAAAAACAGAAATAACTGATAACTACTTAAAATATCCAACTAACTATTGCAACATTTATTGACTTCAGAGCATCGATGTAAGGACAAAAGTTTGCAAGGAGTTTACATCTTGTAATATCAGTTCTGCAATGCGCAACTGATCTGTGATGCCACTTTCCACGACAATCTGCAGATAATAATCAAGATATAGCCATAAGCAGGCCCATAAACCTAGACAATGGCAGAATAACAGGAAAATGAGATAAAATTAAATTAATATTCTAACCATGAAAATTTACAGATATCAAAAAGCACTACCTGTACACTGTCTGACTGTCTTTTAAAGAAAGAGATAAATCAACATCACAGATTTTAGAACAACCAACTAGATGATTTAGATCATTATTGATTTGAACCATTATTAGTCCATAAATCAGAAAATAATTTCCTCAAGAGAGCATAAACTTTAATCTAAAGAAAAAATAAGGATATCTTAGGTAGTTACTTTTAATCTTTTGAGAAATTAAGTATCAGGATTTAGTTTATTTGAATGAAATTGAAGATAGATGTTTCCTGTTGTACATGAAAACCATATGTAAATGTATGTATACAGTCGAATAAAAAATTTAGAGAATGTTAAAGTTGGGTCAATTTAATTTAACCTAACATGTTGCTACCTGCAAAACAAGTTCTGTTTATCATCAATGAGGAAAAAAAAGGATAAGGCAGCATTTGTAATTCTTGAATAAAGAAAGGATAAAAAAGTAACAAAGAGTTGGTTAAGCACAGAAATATCTGAATTCCCATCTGACAAAATCCATACCCTTGATTCTTTTTTCTCACATTCTCTGCTCAAGAACGCACCTTTCTCAGTTCATCCCCACACTTTGCTATATGAATTAATTGATGCCACCAAAACAGTCTCTCCCTTGTTTCTATTTCATCATTTGCAGATTGTGATAAACTATCTCTTACTTGTAATTTTTTCAGATATTCATTCATTTCATATTAAAAGATACATTCATGGATATTAGCATATAATAGTCCCAAATGGCTGGTTCAACAAACAGAAAGAAAAATAGAAGAAGAAATAAAATTCAGAAGAAAAAGAAGGCCCCAGAAGTATCGGAATGCCTAGCTTAAGATGTTTCATCTGCATACAGTGTTTTGATAAATCTAGCTCATCTACCAAAGCAAATAAGAGAAATTTGATGATTCCTTCAAAGAGACGATCTTGAGCATGATCAAATAGGCATTTTCCTTGTAAGAATAAATAAATTTCCATATAACAATGGTAAAGTTATAATGTAACAAAGCATGAATAGTAACATATATTGATGATATTGTATTCAAGGTTTTGAATACTGAACAGACCAGTTAGTGCAGTCCAACAAAGTATCAATATTGAAACATATAGCTCACAAATACCAGTAAATACACCATTTACTTTAATATTTATATTATTTTATTAGACAGTATACTGACTTGTACCACCCAGTCTACAGATCAATTGATGCAGTCTAACCAAGTATCAGTATTCTCGTATCAGTATTGGAACATAGAGCTAGCAGATACCAGTATATATACCATTAGTTTTGATCTTTATATTATTTTAACAGACAGTAACTGATTTGTACCACCGAGTCTATTGGTGATACCGATTTGCTAAGTTACTGAGACCAAAATCGAACCAGTATTTAAATCCTTGACTGGATTTATGTTTTCCATAATAAGACAAGTAAATAGGTTGCCTAAAATTAGATGGTGAAATTTTAAAGGTAATAATATAAAGTTTTTTACAATATGATGGAAAAGGAATATGTTTGTGACTTGAGAGAAAATTATACTAATACCACTTGAGCTTCGATTACTAGTAAGATTATAGCACGTGAAAAGATTTTAGCATATCTGAAGGTTAGGGTGTTGCATTAGGAGACCTGATGATGGTGTGATGAAGTTTAGAGAGTAATTGAAATAAAAGGAGGATATCAAAAACTCATTAGAATTGTAAAATTGAGAAGATTTGTGTTGACTTAATACCAAGGTTCACCTCACCAGCCTGTATTAGTGTACCAACCAACTGATGGTACAATACATACCGCTCCATACCAACATACCATGTGGCAGTACAGCAAGGCGTACCGACGATACGAAAAAATGACGGAAAATAGCTCCAAAATTTTTTTAAAATAAAAAAAATAAAATTAAGGTTTTTAAGTTGGAAATAAATATAAATTTAGTATACTTTCAGCACAAATAATCTAAATTAGGAAATAATAATGGCACATATCTTTTTCAAGCTTTGAGAAGTAACTTAGTAGTACATCCGAACCATTCTTCCGTTGATATTGAACCATCTACAAAGAAATGATTTTAATTGTTAGATTATTTGTTAAATAACTAAAACTTTAATATTCAAATAAATCAAGTAACCGATCGATGGATGTACCTAGTTTTACCACCAAAATAAACGACGGGACTCCATGGGTGGTGGATCAAGATCCTCGATCTTATATATCTATATATCAATATGATATGTTTGTCAGACCCAATCCCGAAATTGATCTCATGACATAGTATACTGATACACCATATGTCATTGGTGCATCAATATGGCGATGATTGTAGTTTGATTGTTGTGAACCACACGTGTCTAAAGTGACTCCTGAGATAAGTACGATTATGGCATGTATTGGTGCGGAGCTTGGAAAATGTCAAAACTACTTTCGGCATTGATCTGATGCTCCATATCATAAGATCGATCGCCGTCCTGATGCTCGAAGAAGAATGACCAAATATCATATCGAGCTCCATAATCTGAATCTTCGGTGGCATGCATAAAATACTACTCCTCGGTCCATGCACCAACCTCAAACTATATAGACGAGATCATTGACTCCTCGACATCACCGCCATCGTCGGTCAAGGCACTATTGTCCACATTGCTGCCATATCTCCAGACCGAGCAAGTTGCTGAATACGATTGAAAATTTATCTATGTACCTTTAATTAGATATTCTTCCTCTAACTTAGGCGTTAATCCTCTCTAATTAGCCTCTCAAGCTTGATCCAATCCACAAATCGCAACTTTGTGGAGTTCAAGAGAGTACAAATGAAAGAATGAGAGAAATATATGTGTGAAAGTGACTGAGTAGATGAGTTAGAGAGAGTGAAAGAGGAGAGAATGAGAGATAAAAAAGGTTTAAAAAGCCTTAGATCTAGTTCAAACGACCAAATGAATCATTTGAATTCAACAAATCCTGATCAGTAACAATTGAAATCCGACCAAAACAGGTCAATAACGATCGAATTTCGACCGTTACGACCGGTACAAATCCCGTATCGAGCGATACGGGGTCCCCTGTTATGGACCGTCCAGTACAGAGCAGTCCGCACGTCGATCCCTTCATACGACCCATTATAGGTCGGCACAGCAAACCATGCTTAATACAAGGCTTCCAGGTACTAAAGGCAGAAGAAAGACATCTAACATAAAGGTCAAGAAAGGAAAAGTATAATGGGCAAACAAAGGAAACCTCTAAATGTCTAAAGATGGTATAAACATATACAAAGGACGTCGATGGATGACTTAGACAAAAAAGTTGAAGTACAAATAGCATTTCATAACTCAGGATACATGCAAATACTAGTTAGTAATAAAATCATGGTGTCTAGGGCTTTTGTCCTAACAAAAGTTATGAGATCTCATAGCCACTTTTGCCTATGGATTTGATAAATTATACAGCACAAAGATTGCCCTCTTTTACTATCTGCTTATAAAGAGTTTGTTATAGGAAAAAATGAACTTAAAATTTTAAGAAAGGTGATAAAGAATCCAACAGCTGAACCTAAATGGTTGGCCCAATACATTCATTTTTTCAAAGGAATAATGAGATCCACTACAAAGCAAAACTAACTGAATGACCAAAAAACCAATCACCAAATATAAAGACCAACAATAAAGGTCACCTATGAAAGGACAAGAAATAAGAAAATGCATGACAAATACCACCTGCCATGGTACATATTACAAAAAGAAAGAGGAGAAAAGTACAGAGGCTGAGTGGACAAAACTGGAGACAGTATTCTCTTCCATAAGTATACCTTCAAAATAAAAGGAAGACTGGACAATTCAACAGATGGAAGATCTCTTAATTCACTGTTGATAGTATGAAAAGAATCATCTGCAGTTACAATCAAAATGATTAATCAATACATAGCCAACTTGCACAGGTTCTTCAAATTGGTATTACTTGGACACCTAAATGGATCCACAAAAATGACATTAAATTCACCAGATAGACATCAGAACCATGCCCACCACATAGACACTTAATTGATCATGTGCATAACAATTAAGTAATTAGTTTCAACAAAATGATACATTAGCTTATACAATATGCGAACGGCATGCAGCCATTGTTTATGAGAACTACAGGCTGCATTATTGACAAAAGATTATCAATCCAAGAAAAACTAAATCAGGTAACAACAAACAAAAGTCCAGAACTACAGCAGTTGCAGTTTCATATAACACAAATTAGGAAGCTAACTATTTCACAGAGCAATGCCCTCAGCTGATGAACAAGACAACTTAAAGTGAGAAAAGGCTCTGACAATAGATTTCACTGACTGTCATACAAGACATGAAGCAACAAACAGAAACAAATAACTTTATCCTTGCTGGTACAAAATAGAATTTCAGTGCCTGTGCATTGCCGTTCAATGGAAGCAGTGAGACACAAAAAAACAAACAAGAAAAGAATATCTAAAGGTGCATTAACTGGAGATAAAATCAAGGTAGTCCAATGAAACCAGATTAATTATATCTTTCCTACAAATACCATTTCAAGTTTATCTAATCGGAAGTTAACTGAAGCAAAGAGATAGAACAACCACAAAAAATATTCAAGCAATTAATGCTTATCTTTTCAGCAGTATTTTGACATTTGTGCAAATTTTGAAGAAAACATTATATCCATTACAGACAGAAAAGTAGCAAAAAACCAAAAACAACTGCAGATAATTATTCTCATGTTGTAAATTAAGAAATGTTACAAAAGTAAACAAAAGTTGACTTCCATCTTATAGAAGAAATACCAATAATATGTTCACAGAACTAAATTCTAGTTAGGAACCTTACAATTAAGCCTCTCTTTACATTTCTACAGTAGAGTGCTATTTCTACTGTCCTTGGTCTCAATCCACATGAATTTTACACAATTGCATAAGCAACTAGACAGTTTCCTAAAATTAAGTTACAACAAACAAATAATTGTTTTTTCTTAGCCCAGCATACACCTAAAGCAGATACTTATGGCATGACCAAAAGCCCATAACTATATGGCTTGTGGGTCATCTGACTCTTTTCAAGTCATGGAGCAAAAGCAACTTTTATTGTTCATTTATCCACAATCAATAGGGTTGATTTAGGTGTCTTTTCCTTGTACAGATTAGCAATCGTTATAACAATGTAGAGTCAATTCTTGCACGTGTGGAACCATGTCAAGGAAATCGGGATACCACTAAGCGGAGAGATGAAATCACGAAAGATCAATCCAAATTCCATCAGATTGCCACTAAACTTTGATTCATATTGACTTGAACTTCTTTTTGTTTTTTGTCATCATATCTTCATTAATTGTTACAATAATATTATTTTAGGAGAGTTTATTAATAATTTGTCACATGATCATGGACTTAGCTGATTTTGCCCTACACCTGCTCACATAGTCAAACTCCCCAAAACCTCATAGAATCCATTAAGGACCTGCAAAAGGACTTAGCTGATTTTGCCCTACACTATCTCAAAGCCCAATCTAGTCATGTACCATCGATGATTCCAAGGCGCTTAGATGGCTATCTCAAAGCCCTACCTAGCCATGCACCATCGGTGGTTCCAAGGTGTTGAGATGGCTAATGTTACCTTCTCTACACCAGAAAATACCTGCATGGTGTGGGATGAAGGCTCCGTTGTTTGGTAGTTTTGTCTCTTTACAACCATCAGCGAAGTCCGTTTATAAGCCTTCAATGACCAAAAGATCCAACCAAAATCAGTCTACCAAACTTATTGTAAGCCCCTTACATGCTACCTAAGGCACATACAAACACGAACGACTACGCAGACAAGTCTTTGTGTGTTACAAGCCTATGTAAGCATTTGGTAGCAATCTGCCCCACTTATTCCTTCGACTTCAACACCGAAACCTTCGTGAATGTTGCACCTCACTGAAAGTTGCATCTTTAATCCTCCTTCGGTTGCAATGCAATTGGTCTCTCGACATTGTTGTTTAAGTAGTCAACTTTAATCCACCAACACTGATGCACCTCTACAATGACTCTCATGTGGGGTCAATCTAGATGTGTTGATCAGTGTTGATAATTGTGGACCCCTTGATAAAGGAAAGCCTTCTCTTTTGCCTCTTTTACAGCTTTCGTGACGATTGAACTTGATGGATATATGTTTGCGAGAGCTTAACGAGCAACACTTTGTAGAACTTTTAAGGTATTCTCCTTTGTAAAATTTGCAACTCCTGTTTTGCTTAACCATCTCCTCTAAGGAGATTCACATAACTCCGCTTTTGTCACTTTGATCTTCTTGGGATAATTCAAAGGGACTTTAAAATTGTGAAAGTGTGCAAAGCTCCTCTACATGGTAACTAAGAAAAATGGGATCCTCGATTTTGCTTATACTCTCAAGTCTCAAGGATTGAGGAGAACAATGTTACCTAACTACGTTCAGCCCCTCGAGATACACTCCTTGTACCAAGCTAGCTAGCTTTGCCTCCTCTCTGCTTTGCACTTCTAAAATATATGTTTAAGCAAAATCGAGTATCCCATTTCTCTAAGTTATCATGCAACGGAGCTTTGCACACTTTCACACTTTCGAAGTACAAGAAGTTTTGCCCTAAAAGAGTATAAGTTTGTCATGACTTAAGCCAGCCTCTAATAGGTTTATCGTCCTCGTGGGGTTGTACCTCCTTTATCAATTCTACCTACCCTCTAAGTAGAAAAATGTATGTTTTCCTACTTAGTTCCCTAGTCAACCACGGTTGCATTGATCCGAAGTCCCCCACTTTTAGCTATCTCTATAAGCACTCCAACATAGACTATAAGAATCCCCTTGGCAACCACCCTGCCTTGTGTTGGTACTTGGAATCTACTCTTCATTGTCTAGGACCCTTTCTCCACCAAAGCATGCTCCTGTCTAATGTTTCTCATCATCCAATGTCATCATCTGCATCTCGTTCCTTCGTAATTGACAGACATGTTTTTATAACCTCATGACACTACCCCTACGTAAAAGATCACTCTTGCAATTCACAAGAAAGTTTCCATTATTTTCTTCTTCTTCGACAATCAAACTAGGATCGTCGGAGACCTAAGATCACTCATGTAAAATAAAAGAATACTTGGTAAAAGGATGCTTAATTTATTCAGATGATGAGATGGGAGCAGTCAAGAAAAGAATTAAACATCCTTTAACCAAGTTTTTTTTTTAATTTCTTCATCCCTTTCTATCCTCAATTCACTTGAGCACTAGCATTTGAAGATCGTCCCACATCATGATGGATCTGATAGTATATACCAAATTACCAAAAGCTATCCTAGTGCTTATGCTTGCATTAATGTGTTTTTACTTATCTTGAATAAATCAAGAGTAAAACTAGGAGCAGTGTTTTTAATTTCATACCATACCACTCGGTACGGGCGGTACGTACCGGTCCGCTAGCAAATTGGTACACGGACCGCCCACTATCTAGCGGTATCAGGTTTTTGGCCCCGTCGAGCGATACAGGGCTGTACCAAGCAATAACGATCGAAATTTCAACCGTGACTAATCTGTACCGAGCAATACATGTCAATTTCATAACATGACCAACAACACTGTAAATATGAACAAAAAAATTACAATAAAAGCAAAACCCTAGCTCGAGCTGGAAATGAAATCAAAAGTCGAGCCGTTTATTCAAGAGAAACAACGACAAGAACGATTTCAAGCACAATCAAGGGATCAGAGAACTATTTATGTTTCAAAATAAGGCGACGGACCTCGAGAGCAAGGAAGGGAGGGAGGCGAGGCGAGGGTAGAGGGGTGATCCCCAAACGAAGAGTGCAACAACAAGGGTTTCACTGGTGTGCATCGTCGAGGTTTCGAAAAGGCGGCAGGTGCAGCAAAGTGGGGAGGGTCGACCCAACAATTACTTATGGACAAAAAATACGAACCAAACCACATGGACTCATCAAACCGTGCATGTCGATAAGTGGTCATGTTACAAAATATATTTGCGGTATGCCCTAGCGTACCGCTCCGTATGCTACTACCATACCATATCAAACAAAGCTCGATATACCGATTCGGTACAAGATTAAAAACCTTGACTAGGAGAACACACTTTAACATGGTGCTCACTTAGATAAACAACAAAGAAGTTGACCAAGAATATAATGTCTTTCAACCAGGGTTTTGAATATTGGTCTATATCATCGTATCGAGCTCTGCTCAATAAGGTACATACCAGTATATACACCGGCGCTAGGGCGTACAGATGGTACACCCTAATACCTTCACCTACCATGCCAAGGCATACTGATCAGTATGCCTCGGTAACGGTCGAAATCCGAGGCGATACCGATCGATACACCTCAGTACCGATCAAAACACTAGTACTGCCCGGTAGATGACGGTCTGTGTACCGGTATCCTCTCGGACCGGTACGTACCTCCCATACCGGGCGGTACACATCAAAATTGAGAACCCTGCTTTCAACAATCCCACATCTACAAAGATGAACTAAAACACAGAAAAGGGAAGGACAATTATTTAAAATAAATGGTCAAATTCACACAAGTAACTAAGATTCGTGTGGCTTACTAACAACTACTTATTTCTCATAGTATCAACTAATGTGATGGAATACAATTAAGCCACTCAACCATGATAAAGTGCTTAGCTAGATTACTGATGAGAAATGGAATATACCGAAAACAATGTTGACAAAACACATTCTTAAGAACATTCTATTATGTTGTTGTCTCAATCACCCAAAAAATGCTTTCTTTGTTAAGCTATCTTCTCAAGCATCTTGGAAGACTTTTGAAATGCAGATTACTCAATTTAAAATTCAATCTTGCTCCATTTGCATCTCACTTAGAATGCTTTCTTTAGGTTTATCTATTATATAACCATAAATGTTGCAAACCATGTGCTTCACAAGTTAATGTCAGAAGTGTACCAGTTGCATGACCTTCAAAATGGCAAAAATGTTAACAATACCAAACTGTTGGTGCAAGTCTGCACACTAAATGGCACAAACACGTCACATCAAGGACTAAGTTTTGACCACCATCAATTAGTTCAACGCAATTTCTAGTTGATCATATCATTCCCAATGGTATTCAACCAGTTATAGAAACACAATCGCATGAACCTAATCAACCGACTAGGCAAAATTCTGATGCTAAATCCAATGGCTTGCCATACCCTATCTAGTGAAGCTTACCAAGAACAAACCCAAGCCCTAAACCACATTTCAAGGCCCATTTTAGTCGAATTCAATACAAGTTTCCAGCCAAAAAAGAAATTTAAGCTATTTCTAAGGATTTTGACTGAAATGTTGATCAGCAAGCAGATTTGACCAGAAACTAGTATGTAGATGGTAGACATTGTAAACCTTGACTTGGAGATTGATGGACTATGATAGTCTATGAACACTATGCCATAACAGGTTCCATGCCACAGTAAGTACATACCAACACAGTCTGGCCCAGGCATAGAGTGTCAATAGGCACATACCTTCTTGGCATATTTCAAACATATAGTTTATGTTGGAAAATAGATATCATCAATTTATACTAGGTCTCAAACTTGAGCCTGACTCAAGCCCTACCTGAGTGCAAGTTATCAATTTAAGAAGTTCAGGTTGGACATTTCTCGAGATGGGTTTGTCATTGATTGATAAAGTCCAATCCATTGGCTTAGGATTCGTCTGAGGTGTTGGGCAGTCTGAGGTGTTGGGCAACTCTACCTGATGCCAACTTAATATACATCATATACAGTTTAATTAGAATAATATGACAATAAAATATCACACAATCATTCCATCACATTCATTCTTAACAAATCCCAAATCCAATTAAAACCTAGTGCCACATCATTGTGCGCAAACAACTTATTTCCACTTCCCTCTGCTTGCTTGAACATCTGCTTGCCACGCCCAAATGCCGCTAGTGATGCCATGCTTCTGCAGCAATCCATTTATACCTGCCAGATCAAACCACTTGGCTACCCAACCACCTTCAATGAACACAGCATCAATATTGCTTCCACTCTTGTCTTGGAAGGTTCTGCTCTAGAACATTTTACATTTTATTTTTTTGGTTCTTTTTTCTGTGCAGCCCTGACTATGAAGTAATCAATTTGTGAAAAATTTATTTCTTTAAATCGATTGTTTGTTTAAAGAATCTATTCTGTTTTAAAAACTTAAGTCTAGTTTTTAAGTTGTCTATAACATGGCAGAACCAATGACAAACTCAACCCAACCTTGGTCAGGATCAGGGTCATGACTCCAGCTTAGAGATCAAGTTAGTTCAATTGTTGCCTGAGCATATAAATTCTCAGGTTGAACTTGGGTTTACTCGTAACCAACCAGCCCACGTGAGTTGTAGCTCTAGCTTACAAAAGGACAGGTTTTATCAAGAAAAATAACTTAGAAATGAACCATGTGCTTTGGTCAAAAAATCTCGTCAACATCCCTAATGAGCTATATGTTTGTTGACAGGGAGTTAAAACCAGCTGCAGCCAGAAGTTAGAGCTCAAAAACATTTTCATTATTTTGGACCAACATGAAATTCATCTTTGATATGTAAGCATCTCTATAATTTCTTTTTAAATTCTACTGTAAAGAGATCAGGGGTTCTGAAGAAAGAAAGAGGTCTCACAAACATAAAGTAGGTACTCAGCAAAGAAGTTTGAGATAATGCATAGAGAAAGTTAAGATTGGTCATCCAAATGATGTAACACTGCAACCCAAACTGTAATTTTTTGTGATGACATGATGTCTTGTAAACCACTTATCTAGTACCAATTACTTGCCACTTTGCATTTGACCATGCATGGATTTTTATGCCAAATAATCCCATTAAATAATAAATAAAACCAACAGGCTCAAGCTAAGTCTGAAGCAAAGCATTTTGTACTAATTGCACTGCAGCAACTAATGGCACACAAGAAATTACATGGAAGGTGCCCACAAAAATCCAGTCTTACTGGAAAACTCATTTATTAACTCTCCAGATGTGTCTAGACAATTGAACATCAGGCACTTAATTCGAGCAAACCATGCTGCTATTATATCAAAAGTTTTGGCAACAGTAACATAATGTTATGATATAGATTATAATGATCTTACAGAAAACAAATTCTCCCAATGCTAATTGTTTTTCATGTATATATTAGGGTTCTTAATTTCGATGTGTACCACCCGGTATAGGCAGTACGTACTGGTCCGAGAGGATACCAGTAAGCGGACTGCCCTCTATCGGGCGGTACTAATATTTTGACTAGTGCTAAGGCGGACTGATCGGTACCGAGGCATACCGACTGGTACCGCCCCAGCTTTCGATTGTTACCGAGGTGTACCACTCAATACGCCCTGGCGTGGTAAGTAAAGGTATTTTTAAGGTTTTAAGATGTACCATCAATACGCCCTAGCGTATCGATGGTACATAGCAGTACGTACCATACCGAGCTGAGCTTGGTACGTCGGTACAGACCGATATTCAAAACCCTAGTATATATTATAACAGATTATAAACAGATAATTTTTCTCTTTTCAAACGTGTCCAGTCTATTGATCATCAGCAAACTTCAATGATCCATGACATAGTTCGACACTAAGTTCCAGCAAGCCATACTGCAATCACAATTGTTTCAAAATTTTGGCCACAGTCCAACATAACATATCCCATAAAAATTTATCAATCTCAGAAAAATAGTAACTCCCTGGGTTGATGATTAACCATACATAAAAGATTTTAAACAGCACCATGATTTTATAGCATCCCTTCTCAGATCGCTTAAGGGCATCTGCATAAGAATCTTTCCGATACCTTAACGCTCTTTGTTGTATATATGTTACACTACTCCGATAATGCATGACCCTTAAATGCTGTCTGGCTTTGTTCCTAAAAGCACCAATTTTGCCATCCTAACAAACTTCAGCTTACTAGTGGTTACAGTAATGCCAAAGGACAGACAATGAGAGCACATCTTGACATCATGTCCAAAAACCAAAACCAAAACCATAACCATATTACATGGCACATGTCCACATATTTCATGCTTTCATCATGTCCATTAAGCAATATTGTGGACATCATTACATTGTAACAGTATCTCCTCAGAGTATTGTTTGTTCCACTTAACCCATGTTTAAATAAAATTAGATTGCTTATAATGAACTACATTTTAATCAAAAGATTAAATGGATGATACAACATGAGCAGCAATCAAAGACAAAAAGTGACGAAAGCTACCATTTAAAGGCATAATAGTACTAGCTTCTAGAGCTCCCAATGCTGGACGGGAGCCAATCTCAAGACCTACTGAATCGCATACATATCATATATAAGCAAGTTGTACCATAAGGGAGTCAGGGCGAGCATATAAGAAGCTACTTGCCTGCCAGATTACTGAAGTGAAGGTTTCTCTGAACTTCAGATATTTGATCCCTGAATAAGCGATAAAAGAATTAATAGCCTATAGCATAACTTGACATCGACAGAAGTCCAGATTAATGATATAAAAGTAAATTACCATATAAATGAACATCCAGTTGCCTCTTGAAAACTCAATGCCAAATCCGTAGCCAATTTTGAATCTCTCCACGAGATTATGGTGTCTACATCAAGTTTAAAAGTTCAAAGTCATGTTAGCCACCAATTAAGGTGTACACTGGGAAAATTTTGCAAGCTCAAATAAATATGAAAAAGGCATTCTACCTTCTTGCCTTCTGTAGATTTCACTTGCTGAGATGCGATGCACAATCAAGTTTTCGTTTTCTTCTTCTTCAACAATCAAACTAAGATCCTCGGAGCCCTGAGATCACTCGTGCAATAGAATTAATGTAAGATATTAATACACGGGATGATGAACCCAAAAAAGATTACCTATATCACAAACATTCAATGGAAGCAGCAAAAAGGACAATGCATACTACAGAAAGCAGCAACAATGAGAAGGCATAGGTCTCAACTATTTACAGGATACCATGGTAAAACAATGATGTTATATATGGAACACACTTTAAACAATGATTTTTACTGTTATTTACAGTAGATAATGGTTTTGGTTACTTCTTTATTTTTGTTAAAACCAATAATATGAGGTCATATGGCCAATAAAACATGAAACAATGATTATATTATACCATGGTTCGTCTTACCGGTCTTTACCAGTGTACCAATCAATTATCGATACGGTATGTACCAAACTATACCGAGCCATACCGAGTATACCGACATATGATACATGAAGGCGTATTGACGTACCGCCTATACCGATTCTCTGTTGGACCGGTATGTACCACCCATACCGAGCGGTATGCCGCGGTACAACGAACCTTGGATTATACAATAATGAAACAGATAGGATCAGCCATGAACCACATTGTTCCAAAAACAAACTACAGTTAGGAAGAGCTTAATTGACATGCGCATGGATATCACTTGTCCATTGTCACCTTATGAAAACAGCAAATATTTTTCAGTCAATACAAAAATATTTAGCACAATTATAAGTCTGGAATCAAAGTACAAAGGACAAGGCATGCAGCATATGGTTATAATTGCAGTTACAACAAAATCCATTTCCCACTCAACTCTGTACTTTCCCAGAAATCAGATCCATAAACCAATTCAAGTTTATTCCAGAACCTCTAAAACACGTGACATCTGCTCAATAAAACTAGTAACAAGATCCTAGTAACTACTGGAGATACAAAACTATCACATACACAACATATTACAAATGCAAACACTAATGAAGAAATTATCAATCAACATATTATATAAGAACTTCTGTTTACACACTGGTAACAGCGATACCCACTTAATCTAAATAATTATTATGCCAATCCAATTTTCTTCAACGTGGGGGCCAAGCGATTAATACAAGGGACCAAGCATTGATACAAGCATAATTTCCCACTTAGTTTCCATGCACATGTTTACATTCTTCAATTACTAATCATGAAAGCTCCAAATAATGGACTAGTATTTGAATCTATCAAGCAAAATCTTAATTTCTGGATACATCTGACAAAGCCAATTTCTCGCTTCTGAATCGATGCAGTGAATGACTTTTATTTTCTAACTACGAGTACAAACGCTATGCTCTCTTTTTTTAATCTATCTGTCACCCCATCAATAAAGTAGATTCCCACTTCTCATCGTCAAAGATCATTGCAGCAAGAAATAAAAACCACAAAGAAGATTCGCATACCATGATATTTAGATAAAAGATATTATAAAGGTAAATAAACAAACCAGAAATAAAGGATACATTGAAAAAAGCACATTACAACAATGTCAAGGGAAAAAAGTAGGAAAAGGTAGGGTTAAACCTCTGGATAATCAATTCTAACATGCCCAGTTCCCTGATCATCCCATTTGCCCTCATCAATCAAGCGGTATACCTTAACAAGCTGCAATTTTTTTAGACCATCAGATAACTGTACTTAATTCCTTACATCTGCAATATAAGCACACAGACTAGATTCGGGATAAATAAAGGGGCAGAATGAAGCCATGATATCAAATATACATATTTTCAGATATTGCAAAATAAGACACCAGATTTTTAAGCTCAACTAACAGAATGATGGTACAAAAATATAGTATGCTTTAAGATGAGGTTATGAGGCGAAAGATAATGGAAAGGAGTAAAATATAGTGTTGATGCACAATTTCATTCAACAAAATATAGCACATTCCCACATCTAAAAGACAAACTGTATAATAAGTACATTTAGCATCAAAAATTCTGGCACACTTATAATTTCTGATTTATTGAAGTCCTTGAAGACATAAGAACATTTTAATATAGTTAAGCTCACAATCCGACTCGAAAATCAATAACAGCAAGGGACAACACAAGTGACAACCAGTTAGAAGCTTAAAGCAAGACATCACTTGTCCTATTATATTTTTTGCAATTTGATATAACTCAACAATGGGTTTTCTCTATATGAAGGCACAATATGAAACAGTGGCATCAAATAGCATCTCAATGAGAGCTATTATATCTTTTCAACCAAAATATATTTAGCCTCACATCTCATCAATACAGAGGCCAGGGACCATCAACCAATAGTTTGAGGCATTGCCTAAATTGACTACTGAGTATTAATAGCATGAGCATACATCTTAGAACCTTAAGGAAAGGGAGAATCCATGGATGCTCATGGTGCACATTTAGAACATAAAAGAATTTAGCATTTAATACCAGTGCTTTATCTTCCAGGACTAGTGTCTCAACTAAACAATGATTGTCAAGTTGTTAGCATCATAACAATACAAAAGACAACCAGTGATGCCAATGAATAACCTGTAGAAACACAATTTTGTTTGGTCACATCCTATATTTCTGATCATCTTTTTTTTAACAAACAGGCATGACTACCTTAGGTCCTATCAATTCAATCCTTAATCTATGGTTCTAACAATCAGCCGATATAGATCCAAACTGAAGTCTATTAGGGTGCTCAGATATCACTAAATGAGAAAGTCATAAAATAATAGATCAGGACAACTCGCTGAATTTTGTCTATTTGTGACACACATAAACCCTTAAATTACTTTTTTAAGGCAGGAAAACTCTCAAAAGTTAACAGATTTCCCAGCATAAATTGTTCCAGGCTCTTCTTTGCTGCATTAAAAGAAACAATTAGGATAATTAAGTTCAGAAAAAGGAGGGCATATGCTGAAAAGTTGTCAAAGCATGAAGTGAATAAAGAGAATGCACTTCAGCTCAAGATAGTAGTACCAAATATTATCGGACGCTAAGCCTCAGTATATATCTCACCCTTGCACTTGAAGATAAAATATGAATGGTCTGGATAAGAACAAATTACTCTTATAAGCTTCAAAAACTAACAGCATCAAACACATGCCTGATGTGGCATGGCTCTCATGAAACCTCCTGGTGCATTTTGTTGCAAAGTAAAGCCTAGTATGTAGTATTGACATCGCCAAACCACTTATGCAGGTGCTACTCTTGCATGAAGGTTGATGATTTGGAAATGGCTAATGGACATCTTAAACAAAAAGAGTTTGATGGCATCCTATATTGTCACAAGTTCATCTGTCTTAAGAAAAATATAAAATGATTGCAGCTTTCCTGCAATTCAGGATGCAAAGAAAAGAAAAGGAAATAAATGGCTTCTGTACTCATTATTTTGCCTGAAGAAGAAATAAATTGATTTGTTTCTCTCTCTTTGTCTTCTCTCCTCTTGTACCAGCTTCTCTGCAAACAAAGAGATCAAGAGAGTGCATATTTGATAAATAAGATGTGTTCCATTGTCACACTCCACGGTCGAATATGTTTCCTTCTTGATGGTTCATTTCTTCCACTAAAGAAGATTTGCCCACAAGTAGCACAGTTGGATGTTTTGCTGGATGTAATTTGCGTGGCTAACAATATCATTATTATTTCAGGTTCTTCCAACGCGAGCTTTGGGATAATAGTGCCAAGCAGTAGTCCACGTCCCATACACATTAGCTAGTAGACCACTCTGTTTCTCCAAGGTGAACATCACATTTCACCACAAGCTAATAAAAGTCTTGGCATGTCAATTTTTCTTAACTCCAAGGACACATCAAAAATCATAAGGTACATTCAACAGGATATAAAGCAAGAAATCACAAGCAACACACACATAAAAACACAACGGTACAGTGGAAGATTGGAATAACCAAGAGGGTCAACTAAGCTGCCAAGAAACTAGTAATCAAGGAAATTTTTCACGGAAATCAAGAGTATTAAGTACGAACAAACTAAAAGCTCGACAGACTGAAAAACCATTGACCGCAAAAATCACCCAGAGTAGTGCCAAGTAAGCCGCTCGTCAAGAACGTGCCAATAACAAGTACGAGTCTAGGGCACAAAGATTTTTTACACGAAAATCAAGCAGCATGGATCGAATTTTTTTCGGAGCCCCAGAAACGAACTTACCAGGGAATTCAAAGAACTAGAGGGTTTGCCCTGGGCGCCCATCGCCGATTCGTGACTACCGCAGCTTCTCTTGGAATCCGAACCGGGGGGGGGGGGGGGGGTGGGGGAGGGATGGAGGAATTCGGGCTAGGGTTTCTTAGGGATCCGGAAGGAAGAGACGAGGGGAAGAGGAGGGTCTAGATCGAGAGGTAGGAAACCCTTACCGCCATCAACGTCGCGGGTAAAGAAGCCCTTCTTCGTCTCTCCTTTCTCCGCCCGCGACTGTTGCGTGCACGAGCCGAGCCAAAGGGTCTCGATTTATAACAACAATTTGACGGTGCGATCGTGTTTATTACTTTACTCTTCGGTTAACACAGCTACTGACCGGGTCGTGCAAGACAAGGACTCTTCTCGCGAAACTCTCAAGATCAAAATCATCATATAATTAAATTAGGTGCTCTTTTACATGTCCATCCTCGCAGAGATGCGACCTAGCATATCTACCCCTCCTCCTACAAAAGAAATAGCTATTTATCGGCTCGAGCGAAATTAGAAGGCGTTGCTCAAAAGAAAACAACAGTCTATGCTTTTGACCATCGACATCACCGAGACTATTGATTCTTCCTGTTTCCACCACAGCGAGCTCATGAGCTGCTGATTGCACGAAACGTGGCAAATTATGGTTCCGTAGGCGAGTAATTGTCAAGAAAAATAATATATATATATATATATATATATATATATATATATATATATATATCAAAGACTATCATCTCGTGTCCGCGTGTGTACGAGAATCGAAGAATCCAAATCGATCCCCCGAGTAGCGAGGGCGCCTTTTCGACTCCAAAGCTGTCCAGCTTACAATTGTCATTCCCTCGCCAGATTGTCCGTAGAAGAGACAATATAGATTAAGAATCGAACACTGAGCATGGAAACGCGTCATCCAAGTCGATGCATCAGTCCATGCAAGTCTGCCTGTATGGGAATGTGGTCAGCCAACACGATATAATAATAAAAATGAGAAATTTCATGTCACTTGTTTAACGAAAAGTACGGCCAGAGCAAAGCAACCACTAACCGTTGGCACTCGTAGAATGCCTTTTTGTCCGTGATGGGGGCGCTATCCTATCCTGATCCGAAGCACTCGCTCCTGCAGGCAAGATATATACTTGCTGATGAAGAGCCCCCACTTGCAAGAGCATGTTGAACTACTCGTGCTAGCCAAATCGGTCTTCGCGCGCGCGTGTGCGTGTTCCAAGTTGAACACCCCATTCTCCACATCGATCGGGGATAACTCATCCGAAAAAACCTATAAGAATGTCATTTTCGAACATCTCTTCAGTTATGCCAATTGTGTTGGCATATAGTTGTTTATGCAAGCCTGAATTTTCTATGAATTTGGTGCTATCCTGGTAGCATTTTCACTTTCACATGCTACCAATTATTGCTCTATCATCTCTACTTCTCGAAACTGAGCTAACTTCTGAACAACGGCAAATGGGTGTTAAAAAGTAGTAGATCTGCTGGTGACACTTACTTATCAGTGATGTTTTGGATCTTTCTAAGCTGGAGATTGTGGTTTTGTCCACTGAAATTAGTATGCGTAAGCCTTTTTTTTTTTGTTATTTTCCAATGGACCTCTTCTGGATTTGTGTCTTGTCTCTACTGGTACATGGATCGTATCTTGCCTTGTTGATTTTTCTTCTGGATTTGCGATTAGCTTTTCAATAACAATTCCCACTTGCATCATCAGGTTCGTAAGCCTCATGGAAGGACAGATGTGGCTTGAAAGTGAAGGCATAGGGAAAGGTTGCACTGCCACATTTATGGTGAAACTTGGAATCTGTGATCAGAACAAGAATCCCAAACCATTCTGGCCCAGTAAGAGCCAACTTCCATGATGTGAAAGGGGCAGTTAGTTCCCTCTTAAGATGCGTTACCAAACAAGTGTCTGATCTCCATGAAGTCGTCTTCTTACCTGTACCATCCATTGGTTCGAATGCATTGATCGGTGAAACAAATTTTGTGATGGTTCAAGTCGATGCATCATCTTCCATCCATCCACTGCGTCGATCGCCCTATATATCTGTGACTATGGTTGACGTGTGGAGTGAGGTGGTGTAAATCTGCCACACCAAGTTGTGTACACTATACAACGACCTGTTTCTAAACAGCTTTACTTACCTGGTTGGGGTTTGTGATCTTTGCTGAGATACTAAGCTAAACAGTGGATTCCAAATAATGCTGGTTGTTTCGCTTTAACTTTTCTGAATCATCGCTATGATGCCAAGGCAGCGATCAGCAATCCCAATGGGGTATCAAGTCGACCGCAGAACTCACTGGTTGATGGCAGGTGGGGGATATAACAGTGCTCTGTTGGTCGGTCATCCGTCCCTTTAGCCACGGCGCCGGTGCTCAAAGTGTTGGAAGACCACTACATCATGCTCCGCCATTACTAAGCTTCGAAAGTCGTTATTTTTGGTGGATCATCGTCCGAATGGACTGAGGCATTAGCGGAAATGGGACATTCTTTCTTTCCCTCGCTTCTGGGCGACAAAAGCGGCCAACCTTCCCCTGCAATGACGTTGACCGTTGGCCTCTCCCCAACTCTCCCACCAGACGGGGAAATTTATGCGTGCGAGAAGCAGCAGCAGAACCGCAACAAGAAGACGAACAAGACAAAGAAAACGAACAGGAGACGGACTCTCGTTTCTTTGCGATGGCACACGAGGAACAACCAAAGCAGATCGACCACAAGGTACCGGCTGCCCCGTCTTTGTTCCTTTCATTTAAATATTATCGGCCTAGAGGAAGAGACGGAACCCATCGGTCGAGAGAGAAGAAGGAAAAAAGTAGACGAAAACCCACCACATCCTCTCTTCTCCTGCAACGTTTCTTTCCAAAAATGGGGATCTTTCTTCTGTTTTCATCGGCAAGATTGCTAGTAGAGATGTTTGGTTGCAGTTGCGAGACTCAGCGGAGTCTGGCATGGGGCGGGAATGCGAGGAATGGGTGGCAGTGGTCCGCCGGCGCAGCGGCAAGTGTCTGTCCTCGGGTAACCTTCGTGGATTGTCTACGCTCGAAGCTCTCCCGCCCGAGTTTCCAGTCTCGACTTCATCCCCTGGCTGCAGGTACACGGACAAGGTTTAATATGGCGGCATTTACCCTTTATTTTCAGCATTTGCAATCTCTTAGCTTTGCAGCTCATTTCTTCCTCACTCTTTGCTCGGGGAATGTTCAGATTAGTGACTTACTATGTATCGTCGCTTGACAAAAAGCTTTGATTTAAAGAATATGTTAGCCAGAAGGTGTTTCTTCTCAGTATCTGAGCCCATAGAAAATAAATTGCTTGCAACTTGAGGTGCTTCCTGCTTGGAATGTAGAGTATGGAAACCATTGTTTACCGAGAAAGGGAAACTTTTTTTTTTTTTTTCTCTTCTTCAGCTGATTTGGTTTTATCATTTGATGCCACAAATTCATGCCAATTTTGCATCTCAAGCGTTCCTAATCTTTTCCGATAAAACTGCAAAAGGTTAAACCCGATTCCTAAGGTAATAACCCTTTACAACAATGGTGAATGCGTGATGGAAAATTAATGCTTTTAAATTGGTCACTCATTTGCCAGGATGTAATTCTATTATTAATTCAAAAAATACGGAATCTTTTGCATATTCTTTCCTCCTACAGGGCAGAAGTATCAGATTCAGACAAACCTAACAATTCTGCAACAAGATCGCAGCCTCCAGGCCTTGTTCCAGAAATTAGTTTGCGGGATCAGCTTGGAAATGCTGCTACTTTAGATGTTGGAGCAAGTGACATCTCCTGGGATACTCTATACTCCCTACACCACACAAAACACACAAGCAGTAACGAATATTCTGAAGATGAACTGAACAAAGCTTTGGAGGTTTGTTGTTGCAAGATCCTTGCACATTATTAGGAATTGATTACCTCTGTTCCTTTGATAAATTCTTCAAGATTGACTATTTTGATTTTGAAGTTAAAAGACTTTGTGCTATTTTTTGTTTTATATATTCATTTTTTCTGAGGATGATCTAGTTTCCTTCTTGCGCTTGGACATCGATAAAGATTCATTTTAACTAGTGAAACCACCACACGGCATTCCCATCACCAGTGATGCAAATACTACGTTTTGTCATCTCTATTGTTCCTTTGATGAGAAACAAACGTATATAGGTCAATGGCTGGTTTTCATGACACTTCACTGAGAACAATTGACAGGACATCACTAGAGGGGAAAACCTTTGTAACAGTTCCTTTTACAGAAGCTATTTTGATTTTTAGATCATATACTAGAAATGATGTCCCCGAGACATTTGATTTTCTAGAGTAGGTGATGTCAAAACATACATAAGCGGTTTAAGAAAATTTGAACTGAAGAGTTGTAAGTTGATAATGCAAGCAAAAAGACTTGTTAGCATAAGCTTTTTCTACTGAGCTGAGTTCTAATAATGGTTGCTGTCTGTGTTTACCTAGACACTATTTTCGTTCTTTGATCTCGAGTATCGCACGCAAGATTCGTAGTTCAATGTGTCTAACTTGTACTTTGAAATCTTATTGAAGGAGCAGTTTCTGAGAAAATTTATTGAGATGATTGTTTGTTATTTTAAATATGCCAACTTGCCACTAGCTGTCCTTCTTATTAAAATTTTATTTATTTATTTTTTGCTGGTGATCTTTTTGCTTTTAATCATTGGCTGGTGATACAGGTGACAGTAAATTCTGGAGGTGTAGTCTTCTTTGCTCTGTTTAACACATGGAACGACGATGATCTTTCACCAAAACACACTGCTGCAGTCATTAAAATTGCACCCTCAAGAATGGCAACACAATCAGAACGCCTGGGTTATGAATTTGCAAAGTTGCTTGGAGTCAGGACGCCTCAAGTGTGCAGCTTTTTTCTGTTGATTATCCCATCTTGATTACTCAGTTATATTACAATTTTGCTTCTTCTAATACTCTGATTCTTCAGGCGAGAGTGATCCACAACTCCAGCACAGAATGGCAAATGATCAAGGATGCTGCAGAAAACGCACGTGATATGGCAGTTGCTAGCGGAGATGAAGTGGGTGAGGTTACATGCTCAGAGTTGTTAGAAGCACTTGAGTTGAGTCGGTGCCTTTTCCTTATGAAGTAGGCCCACTAACTCATCTCTTACTTATTAATATAGAACCACATCTTATCGAATTCTTCTTCAAATTTCTGCTTGTGGTAGTTATGTTCATGGCTCACCTCTGGCGGAAAATCCAAATGCATTTGATTCGAGAGAAGCTGCTGAAAATACTGCTGAAGCACTTGGCAGGGTCTTCGTCTTGGACCTTATACTTCGTAATGAGGATAGACTTCCCTGTCCTCAACTTGGGTGGCGTGGGAATCAAGCTAACCTCTTGTTTTCGAATAAAATGACCTCTTCAAACATGGATGCACTTGATGAAGCTTATGATTCTGCCATTACAAGATACAAACCGCGGATAGTGAAAAGTTTTAGAAAAGAGGAGAAAGGGAGACGAGCAATCTCTGTGAATGGCAGACTAGATTCTTATGGTCCTCAGCTTACAGCTGAGGGCTCTGATGGTTGCATCACATTCACTACCAGATCCACATTTAATCAAGGATCAGAATGTGGAAAAAGTTCAGATTTTTGTATTGTGGCCATTGACTCAGGGGTTCCTCGCAGACCTCCTGCAGGAAAACGGGCAAGAGATCAAGAAAGTTACCCTAAGGTGGTTGAGCTTATAATCAATAACTTGGAGTTCTCTTCTAATCTACTCTACGAAGTGTCTTTTGGAAAGCTGGGAATTCCTGGACCTGAGCACACTGATGCACCAGGTGATTCTTGTTCTTGTTTGTCTGAATCTGATATGGTAACTATCGTTCATGCATTCAGAGCAGGATTTCGTAGTGCTCTTAGGGACCTGCAAGGTTTCCATATATTTCTTCTGACATTGTACCAGAAACTAGAGGCTATCTTACGGATGTTTCTGTCCATTATAAGTAAAAGTTTTAGTGAGTCAGACAAGGATGATTCTGGGGCTTCTGAGTCACCATTACAATATGCCTGGTGCAACTTCAACTCCCAATTCCCGGCATGCAAGGAACGTGGTGTACATGAGACACATGCAGATTCTAGTGATTCCGAATCTCGGAGATGTTTGCACAAATCTTTAGGGTCTCGAGAAAGCCTTGACATATCTCCTGGTTCTCGAGAGAACTGGAATTGTAGGTACTTCAAAGGAAGTGGAGAAACTCCTCGCCTGCGGTTGACAATGAAGCTTCGTGACTTTAACAAGTTGACTAAGGTTAGAAGTGCTTTTGCGCTTGCTATATCATACTTAAGTCAATAATATCTTGAGCATGAAACTATGGTTGAAGGGCATTTGAGTTAGGCTGGTTGATATCTATAGGGGAGTGGAGACTCTTAACTTATCTTAGAAGGATATCCTCCTAAAATGCTATATCGACTTGCTTGTGTAATCAGGATAGAGCCAAGATGATAGAATCTAAATAATCTACCAAGAAAACTCAGATCATATTGATCATAAGTTCCATTAGATGAATCTACATTTTTCATGTTCATTGATAAATTAAATGCTATGGTCCTTTTGTTACACTACATAATACAAGGATTTAACAATCTTTGTCCGAACATGCGTGAATATATTTGGTATAGAATCCAAATTTATACTACAATTTATATTGTATATACATATATATTAAAATTCTAATTAGAATCATGCCAAAGGACAATAACTGTTAACAATTATTAGCATTGTAACTCATTTGAGAATGGCCTATATAAGATCAAATTAAATTAAATTTGGCGTTAAAGATAGATCTTAGGAGAAAGAAGCTTAAATTTGGTAGCAATGTGAATGTTGTGAAAGATATGAAAGGGGTGAAGTCAGCTATTAGTAAGACCAAGGGTAGGTTTACTGCCAATTAAGAAGGCTTTGAAAGTTTTTCTGGAGCCAGACCTCTGGTAGTTCCCATTGATCGGTCCATGGCTTTTCTATAAGGAATATCTTTGTAATTCATTTACAAGGTTCTCTTTGCATAAAACATTTTCCTCCTCTTTAAATCATCCAGTTTGATATACACTGTTTGTTTCTCTAGTACCTGACGAAGCCTATGTCATTAGAAAGGATCTTAATGAGAAAACATATAGAGTACTGGACATGCTAAGAAAATATACTTGTTATGGAACACCCTGTTTCAACTTATGAAATTTTATGTATTGGAACTTTCTTGCAAGTAAGAAGTAGTATAAACTATGTCATTGGCTACTGCTTTGTTGTTTGACTCTTGAATTACCAGCATTTTGCTGCTGCCTGCCGTTTTAATTAACATACCGCCTGCCATAGGTAGATGCTGAGTTGAGCAAGGAATTGGAACAGTGGAATGAAATGCTTAGAACAGATGTGGTGAAACTGTGTGAAGAGAACAATTTTATTACAGGCTTTTTTGAGGGGAATGATAACAACATCGCTGTTGATGCTTATGAATTGAAGGTAATGTGCTTCTATGTCCATTCCAATTGACAAAATCTAAGACTGCTAATCCTTTTCCAGGTCCGACTCGAGCACATTCTTGAGAGAATATCACTTATCTCTGATGCAGCCAGTACAGAGCGGCCCTCTCCTATTACAGATTATCTCTATATTGGTGGAGCACTGGCTGCAAAATCTATGTACACCCTTCAGCACCTGGGTATCACTCATATATTGTGCTTGTGTGCAAATGAAATCGGGCAATCAGATTCTCAAAATCCTTACCTCTTTGAGTACCAAAACTTCTCCGTAAGCAGCATTTTCTTTCTTTGTCCAATGGAACAGTAGACTACTGGGATTTTTTCTATCAAGTCTGTGGTTTTTCTGCTTTAAGGTGTCTGCTTAGATTTGCCACGGTACATACCTGCTACTCCACTACTATGCAAAATAATGACATCATCTATCCTATTAAGATGGGTCACTTATTTTCCTTATCTCAGAAAGTTAGACCTGCTATTTATCAGGATGATTAGTACACAGGAACAATGAAGTACTACTACACAAGTACTATTTTTGCCACCTAAGATTCAGAATGCATTGAGATCTTCTGGATTTATAAATGCTCCAGTGAATTTTCCATACCATAGGTATTATGCATCAGATGTGTTTCATGATTAGTCTAGCTTCTAAGTGAACCAGTGGATCCATGACCACCACATTTGGTTTCTAGACAAATTGAGTTTTCTTTTGCCTGCCAAGTTAAATAACGGCAAGCAACTGCATGAGCAATGTCAATATCTAATTGGATATATGGTATTGGCCTCAATTCAGTCACCAATTTATTATCAAAAGCTTTTCATATTATCGTCAGAGAGTCTTGCACTAGATATTCACACAGTTAATTGTACAAGAGGTAACAGAGAAACAAGGACAATAGAGGAAAAAGATATTCTTTGTGAAAGTTAAGCTGATTTATCTGGTGAAATGTGTGTTTGTTTTTGTACCAATTTAGTCCAAAGGCTTCATGCTAGGTTAGAGTACATTAACGGATCATAATTCGCAAACTTAAGGATCAACCTCTAAAGGTGTCACCCTTTTCCTGTAACATGAGAAGATTTTGAGTAAAAGATTCCAAGAGTTTACCTCCTGGAGATGTCGATGATTGTTAGTTTTTATAATTCTTTTGCAAAGATAACAATCTGCTGCTTGAAAATTCATAGAAAATTTCAATCCCCACCATGTTACATCCTTTTATTGCTCTCCCAAGTGAAAACTCCTTCCTCTCTGTACCAAAGTCTTTACTGAAAGAGGCAAGGCTGTCCATGGTTTTTGTGGTGCAGATAAGTGATAGTGATGATGAAGATATCAGCAACCTCTTTGATGAGGCTTCTGATTTCATTGATTATGTTGAACACTCGGGAGGGAAAATATTGGTCCATTGTTTCGAAGGAAAAAGTCGGAGTGCGACTGTGGTACTTGCATATCTAATGCTGCGAAAGTAAAGATCTAATGTTTCAGTTGTACATGAATTAGATACATTCAATCGGTCAGTTTTGAGTGAATTCTTTGCTCCAGGGGCCTCACTCTATCAGAAGCGTGGAGTATGCTCAGGAAGGTGCATCGCCGAGCCCAGCCAAACGATGGCTTCGCTAAGACTCTTCTGGATCTTGACATGCAACTGCATGGGAAGGCATCAATGGAATGGCAGCAACGGAAGCCGATGATGAAGGTTTGCCCCATCTGTGGGAAGGATGCAGGTCTAAGCAGCAGCTCACTCAAACTCCATCTCCAGAAGTCTCACAGAAGGTTGTCTTCTGGCAGTGTGGACAGCGCCATGAGTTTGGAGATTCAAAAGGCTTTGGAGGTACTAAAGGTCAGCCGTTGCAGCAGTATCAGCTCAACTCATCAGCAGTCCCAATCGCTCATCGATGAATTGTCTCTTTGATGCCATTGTCTCATGCATGTCCGCGAGGTAATTCAGACTATTTCTTTGCTTCAGAGTTTGGCTTTACGCCGTGTGACAACAATAAGCTGCCTGTGAAAAAGATGATCGGGTGTGCAATAGATCAGCTGAGGCCAAAAGTTTGACGTACGTCTGAGACTTTATGTTGTATGTTTCTGTGGATTGAAGTCCAGGTGTGCGTGCCAAACATGCTAGATTCTGGAATACTACATAGGTTACCACCAAAATAAGTTTATGCCGCAGAAGGCATCTGTTGCACCTTTGCCACTTCTTTCAGAGAAGCAGTGCTCTCTTATGGCACTTGTTGAGAATAATGGTCGTTCTATTCATTGTTAGAGGTGATGGATACGAAGACTTTCAACCACTTTTATATTGGCAGTCAGTAGACTAGCAGTCTCCACTTTTATTTTGGTTCCCGGATGAATCATCACCGACGTCACACGTCACGTCCCAACCAATATCAGAATCCAACACTACACGCCATTAAAACCCCGTAATGCACGTCAAATCAGATTCCGTACCGAGACACTATAAGACATGACCATCCCAAGAGCTTGGGGCGATGCCGTCTGACGTCGCTCAGGCATCCCCAAATATGCCAGCTCGTCAGAGAAGTCGTCTCATCTCACAAAGGTCAGCGGTTGCACCAAACTTAGGCGCAACCAATCCTCACACGATAGTATAAAAACCCTTGTCCGACACCCGACCAGGGGAGAAAAAAACTCGATATAAAAATACTCCACTGACTTACTCGTCGGAGGGGCCAAATCGAGAAGCACCCGACGAAGGCCATTTTGCAAAAAGGCAACCACCCCCGAGCGACGAGCGTCTGGACCCAAGAGATACCTTCCGTTGCACAAGGGAGAGCAGTGAGCTGGCCCAAATCCCGACCAACACCGACCAGCATTCCTCCCTGAGGGCTCGGCCACCTCATCATCCTACTCACTCCGCAAGAAGCTCCCGACATCGACCCGCGCACCTAACCGTGCTGACTCAGATAATTTTGTTCACTAACAATATCTTGAGATCAGAACCTTACGATATATAATTAAAATCTTTATCCGTTAAGTTAATTTACATTTTTAAAAATATGTCCTTCCAATCCTCAACCTATCTATTGCCGTGAGGTTTGGTATACATGTATGCATCAAATATCAAAATTTTCAGAATGCATCAAAAAAAGTAGTATGGATATTCCACCCAGCACAAAGCTTAGTTGTTTTTGTGTATTCAATATTTTGAGGTGAGATTTTCGTCGACACAGGAGGAAGATTTGATTCTCATCCTCCAATTCACGTACAAGAACAGAGCTCTTCTGTTTAGCCAAATATGCCTATGCAAGGGGTCTTGGAAATTAATTTGGAGGCCAAGATGATCCTAATTGAAAGGAAAACTCTCTCTCTCTCTCTCTCTCTCTCTACGTTTCGACGATGAATTGCTACCGAGCGAGTGAGTGAGAGGCTGTAGAGACGACAATGCAAAGGGCATGGTGACCCACCTTCCGATCATAACTTTATGCCCACAGTTTAGTTTGGGGCTCAATTGCCGAAGGGAGTCTTCTTCGACCGCCTCTTCCTCCTCACCGGAGATAACAACTCATGTAGTGAGTGCTACACGAACCACGAGGAGTGAGGCAGTACACGTCTCATCTCTCCTGCTGGCTTACCTTACCTTAGAGCTCTTGTGGGGGGTAGCGGCTCCTCATCTGGTTCATCTAAGCTAGTTAAGTTACGTAGATAGATTGTCTCTATTGAAATATCCGAATTGATCAATACATTATCATGAATCTCAGATTCAAGAAGATCATGTGTGCACATCATATAAGCCATTTAATATAATAAAATTATATTATATTATATTTTATTTTATTTAAAAAAAGTTAGATAGAAAGGCCCAACAATTAAAGATCCTAAAATAAATTTAAAAAATGATGATAAAACAGTAACATTCATATAAACTTCTGATACAATCGAGTATACAGGAATTATATATATAAATAAATAAATATATATATATATAAAGAAAATTCATGCAATTGAAATAGTTTGAGTGATGTGTATTATATATAAACCTCCTCTAATTTAATCGATTTCATATATGTTTACTCTCACTAGCTTTGATTCAGACTCATTTCGAAAATTTAGAAAAAGGTTTAGTATGTCCATCGAATGTACTGTTTTAACACCAAAACCCCTAACAAATACATACAGGGTTTGACATCTTTTGTTTATGGAGAACGGAACCTCCGATGGCGATGGCTATGATGGATGGACTTTTGGCTCTTATTCTCACCAAGTATCGATAGATAGTCTACGGAAAACATAAACGCGTATGGTACGGTTCGGAGGACAGCATGCGATTTGGAGAGAATGGGATACTTACAAAATGACATTTACCATGGCTTCTTCTCTCTCTCTTCCTTTGGAGGATACAGAGTATTTACCACCAGACTGTTGTTTCCATTCTATCCTTCCCATCTCTTCCTTTCTCTCTTCCACCTCTGAAAATAAAGTTCCATGGCTTGTTCCAGCTTGGGAGTGAAAAAAGGAGAGAAAACCATACCATGCAAGCACCATAAACATTTTATAAGCTTATATTTGAAACTAAGTTACTTATAACATATGTTCATCAAGTAAATTATGGAAATAAGTTCTCCATCCATCATTAACCTCCTTAATAAGTATCTTTTGGTCTTCATGACTAAAAAAACATATCATTTTCACCATTCTTAGTATCTGGGAATTTTAGCTAGTTCCTGTTAACATAAAAATTACTTGAGAACCTCCTCTAATATAAGTTGCATTCCAGATTCCCAACTATGCTCTCAAACAGTAAAAAAAACTCCCATCAACCTGGTTATATAACACATGAAAAATACTAATACAAACATACTGTACTCACCACTAATACACTTGCCATTATTTGCCTTTTTAATCGGGCTTCGCTCTTACTCTTGCTGCACAAAAGGGATGGCTGGCCGTGCCTTGACAACATTCAGCACACCTCTGGCAGTTTGCTGTAATTGGAAGGAGAACCAAATTAGTACCTTTGGATGTATAGTTATATTGGGGTTGTCCACTATCAGTCAATATACAACTCGACAGCGATACCTCAAAGAAGGAATTGAAATTTAGGCGCATGAGAAATTGTCGTAGAAAAGGTGCTCGTTGACTTCCGGCAAGACGACTGCTACGTAATATTGTATAAAGAGAATTGGATTTCTTATTGAACTCCTGCCAGCCACAGTAATAGAGAATGAGCAAGAAAATAAGAAGGCTAGTCTACTTCAAAATCTAAGATCTGATTAGACTAAACATGTAAAAATTTCATACGAGAAAAAGACATTAAAAGTTTATTCACAAACTACATTGTATACCTTTCTTTATTTCCCGAGAACAATTATGTTCCTCTGTCTTATTCTATGCTACTTAAGTCTACAATAAATAACTTACAAGCTAAAATGATATTAAGACTGCATTCATCTTTTTTCTCTTTTTTGGCTTCTTAATTAGGTACTCAGTCTCCTTGGTATTCTAGGGAGACGCACAATCCTTGATCCATCCCCAAGCACAAAAGCGGAAGAAAACAAAGAGAAGAAATGACACTTGGCTTCTTTTGTTCTCTATTCCACATATCTGGGCCAATAATCTGAACAACAGCAATAAATCCCCTTCTTTAATAACCCTAGATGGCATGTCTCACTTGGCTTCTTTTGTTCTCTATTCCACATATCTGGGCCAATAATCTGAACAAATAATATCTTTAGTTTCGATCCTGACTAGGTGTATGTTAGGATTCCTTAATTTTAGGAGTCCTTAATTTTAGGGATTTGATATTAATCTTTATTTTTCTTATCTAGTTTTTCCTAGTTATGGTAAGAGTTTGTTAGGATTCCTTTGATATAACAAATTATGAATTGTTATTTTTATTTTTTTTTGATTCTTAGTCCTAGTTGACTAGGGATTAAATAACCCTATAAGTATGTAATGTCTTTGGCTATTCTCAAGTAATCAAATACAACTCAAAGTCTTTGGCTAACTTGGAGGTTGATCCTTTCGAAGTGATCAAAAGGAGGTTGATCCCTTTGAAACGATCAAATCCCTATATCTTTTCTTAGATAAAAACTTAGGAATTTATCGTATTGTATTAGAGCAACGTGTCCTTGGCGTTCCTAAAGTTCTTACGGTGTGTCCTCGACACTTTCTTGACGGTGTGTTCTCGATGTTTCCTCGGCGTTCCTAAAGTTCTTGTGGTGCGTCCTCGACATTACCTCGGTGTTCCTATAGTTCATGCGGTGCTTCTTCGGCATTCCCTCAATCTCGTCTCCGACGCTGCCACAGGCCTCGACGCCCACATCGCCAACAACGACTTCACCTTCAACGCCAAGTAAGTAGTGCTCATGCCCTTGACCCGAAATTAAAAACAAAACTTAGGAATTATAGATCTATAATCATATGCAATGATTACGGACAATTCTATGAAAACCTAATTTGAAGCATTCGAAGCAAAAATTGAGAGCAGGCTGCAAGAAACTTTCAATGATTTCAAAAAGAGTTTGCTTGAGAGTTTTAGCAAAATTCAACAAGATAGAAGTTCGAATTTTATAAGAAAATAACCTGACCGATCCGAATTCACAAGAAGAGGTTACCAAGAGCATGATAATGGCTACCCTCCCACATGAAAGTAGAATTTCCTAGATGGGAAGATGGAGATCCCACCAGTTGGATTTCTAGAGCAGAGAAAATTTTTTCGCTTTTATAGAACTCCATAAGATTCTAAAGTGGAAATAGCTTCAATCCAAGTAGATGGAGATGCTTTTCAATGATATGATTTATATGAAACATATCATGGAATTCCCTCGTGGAAGCAGTTCAAGAAAGGACTTCTTGTTCGTTTTAGACCATCTGAATATGAGAATGTTGATGGGTAGCTTGCTAAGATTCATTAGACTTCTATTGTCTTAGAGTATCAAAGTTGATTTGAATGACTATCAAATCGGGCTAAAGATTGGTCTAAAAGACAATTGGTGGGAACATTCATTGAAGGTTTTAATTCAGACATTCGTTGTGAAGTTAAAGCTCGTCAACCTTGCACTATAATAGTTGCAATTCCTTTTGTACGATTGCATGAAGAAAAAATTAATATGAAAAATCATCGAACCAGGAGTGTTAATAAACAGATGACTAGCAAGTCAACTACTCTAACCATTCGTAATCGAAATCCTAATACTAGAAGACTAACCGAGAGGAACTCAAAGAACGACCAGCTTAGGGTTTATGTTGGTATTATGATAAAAAGTGGAGTAACGAGCATCGATGCAAGCAAGGAAAACTTTTGATGATTGAACCAATTGAGGAAGAACTAGAGATTGAAGCTATAGACTCTGATCATACTGATAATGATGAGATTATTGAACCTGTCACATATACTGTTCATGCATTAGCCGACTATTCTAATCCTCAAACTATAAAAGTTGAAGGGCTTTTGAAATGTCAGCTCTGTTACTGTTTGATTGATTCTGGTAGCACCAACAATTTTATGGATAGCAAGATTGTTGCGTGATTGACTTATCGCATTGAACGTTGTGATAAATTCGAGGTAAAAGTTATTGATGGACGAATTTTAACTTGTGATAGTAAGTGCTCCAAAGTAAAGCTTGTTATGCAAGGCCAAGAATTGCTCGTGGAATGATCCTTCAGGCAATAAATGAGATGTAATGAGTGGTAAAATTGTTCGTATACTACTATTGGAGGATTATGAGGTTGTGCTTGGAATTGAGCATTATAGAAACCAATAGAAATCCTCAAGCAATTCAACTGTTGGAATGGATAATAGAAATGAAGTGAGATAAAGTAGACGACCTAAGAAACTCAAAGAGCACCAGTTGGACTTCAGGTTACACGTCTAGATGGAAGGCTATCCTACATTCTCTCGCTGATCAAGTTTCACAGGTACCACTTTCTTTGGCAATACGAGTTGCTTCGCTTCGTGGGACATTGCGCTTACATATTAAGCCGCCACCTTATGATCAATTGTGGTTTGGCTTTATAACAATGTCGGAATTAGATTAGAATTTGGCCTCATCAGTTGGGGATCGAAAAATAACCAGCAGCCATATTGCTTTGCTTTTTGGCAATCGAGTTAAGGCTGCAATTCGGGATAGTTTGATGCTTCCTAACTATGAAAGCATATGCATCCCAAAGATGTTAGCAGAAAAGGATGATTAGATCCCAAGGAAAGTTGCACCATTCATATGGATCAACAATGATAGTAGGGACATGGCAGGCCCTGAGCTCACAATGCCCCAAGATAGGGATAAGATTATTCAACTTCTAAGAGATAATCTCGTAGTCTCACAAGCTAAAATGAAGCAACAAGCTGATAAGCACTGTAATGAGTGAGAATTTGCAATGGATGATTGGGGTTTTTTCGACTTCAGCCTTATAAGCAAACTTCTATAAAGGTTCGGACTTCTATGAAGCTATCCTCGATTCTTTGGGCCCTATAAGGTGTTAAAATGCATTGGCTCAGTTGCTTATCGCTTGGACTTGCCAACAAACTCTAAGATATATCTAGTTTTTCATGTTTCTTCTCTTAAAAAGAAGTTAGCTGCGGATGATGTGGTGCAACACCATTTGCCAGATATTTCTTCTACTGGTGAGGTTCAAATCCTACCTCAAGCCATACTTGATCAACATGTCATGATGCGTCATAGATATCCTATCACTGAGGTGCTTGTTTAGTGGGCCAACTTACCAATTGAAGATACCACTTGGAAGTCTTACAAAACTTGGAGAAGTTTCCAAAATTTATTGCTGCTCAACCTTAAGGACAAGGTTATTTTGAAGAGGCGGGAAATATTAGAATTCCTTAATTTTACGAATCCTTAATCTTAGGGATTTGATATTAATCTTTATTTTTCCTATTTAATTTTTTCTAGTTATGGTAGGAGTTTGTTAGAATTCTTTTGATATAGCAAATTAGGAATTGCTATTTTTATCTTTTAGGACTCCTAGTCTTAGTTGACTAGGGATTAAATAACCCTATAAATATGTAATACCTTTAGCTATTCTTCTCAATCAATCAAATACAACTCAAAACCTTTAGCTAACTTGGAAGTTGATCCACTCGAAGCGATCAAATCCCTATCTCTTTTCTTAGGTAAAACCTTAGGGTTTTATCAGTGTACATTCGTATTTTGAGTGCTTGTCTACACCAAATAGGTTTTAAAGAGAAAGCTACTACATAAAAACAAACTCAGACTTCAAAATCTAATCAAGGGAAATTAATGGCCATAGTTGAGGTAAAAACAGGTTTCAGAAGAACATAGCCAATACCAAGGAATCAGCATCATATATCATATGAGTGCTTTCCAATCCGATTTAATTTTTCCATCTTAGTATTTATTGTGTAAGACTACCATTCGTGAGACCAATGAAAAAATCGGATGCTATTACAAATATCACGCCCATTATTTGATAATATCTTTAGTCACATCCTTTTCACATGGTGTCCATAGTTGCATTTTCTTGTACGCTACTATAGACCCCAAAATTGAAGAACCGATGGCCTTCATTTCACAGCAAAGTACAAGAAAACATTTTGCAGCCAAAGAAAAGTACTGCAGAAACAAATGGTTCCCACAATATGAAGTGTCTGAATAAGAAATATTTTGATTACCTCAGTTATATGCTCCAATTCGGATATATTTGGATTGCTCTCATACTGTTCAATAATCCAGCAAAACTGCAGGCAAAGTTTCATGATGCTGTCCAGAATTCTAGAGACTGATCCAATGTCTAGAAATGATTGTGAAATCAAAGCGGCCAAATATCTGTAGATCATTGATTATATATAACCAGTTGTCAAAAGCAACAAAAATGTGCATGTTAACAAGAACCTAAACATTGGCATGTTATCTACCAATTGTTTTTAAACAATGACGTCACACACTTGAAGGTCACAACTATACAAGCATCAACAATGACAAATGGTGCAAGATACCCATGCTTAAAGTGAAATTTACAGAAAAAAAAAAACAATGAACATCAGACACATTTATGACCGAACAGTTGTTTGAAAAAGCATAAGATATTACTCACCAAGGATGACTGATACCAGTCATTGGCCAGACCAATACAGGACAAACTGATTGTTTACAACTAGACCATTACTGGGCTATTAAAATAACAACAATCTTAAATCATTTTTGGAATTTTGGCTCAATAATTTCGAATATGGTTAAGATCTATTGCAACCCATATCTAAAAGAAATACATAAAAATCCTGTTGAAGAACTAAATGGAAGGCATAACTCATGTATTACAAACATATGATTGAAATTTTGGAACACCAGTAATTGCATACAGTTAAAAATTAAATATCATATTTATTAATGGCCAACTATCACCAAGAAAGAAACTGGTTAGTCTGCATACTGGTTTAGCATTTTACATCCATACCAATCAGTACTATTTAAATGTCAAAGTTGAAGGAAAATTTATACATGCACAGAAAAAATCTTACAACCAGTGACAATTGTAAGATTAAAAACTTCCATGAGATTTACATTGTTAGCAACAAAACCATTTAGTACAAATAAAAGTCAAAAGAGGATCTGAATTTCCTAGAACCATGTTAATAATTGACCTTGAGGTGCCAGAGCAGCTTCTTGGTCTCATGTTTAAACACGATTGGAAGAATAACAGGGTTCTTCAATAATTTGTTTTTGTTAGTTATCTCATAATTTCATATAAACTAAAACAGCAGCTTCATTTTACTAGTAAGACAACTGACAACAAAAACTACAGAAAAGTTCAAGTAGAAGGGACAACTTGGTACGTACTCTTGATGAAAACCCACTAACTCAGTAAAATCACGAGAATCTTGCAGATGAGCTTGTAGAACATTCCACTGAGACTCTATCACATCTACCTGCAATAAACTATAATCGTCTATGAAAGCTAATTATAACCGAGAACAAGTAATTGTTCATCATTCTCATGATTTCATAAAGTACATAGAGAACTTATTTAAAAAAGAAAATATTGTTGGTATCTATTGATCAAGTTTAATTTGGGCTATATTCAGATCAGGTCAACGGAACCCTTCACCCAAAAACTCAATTTGGGGTAGAAACAAAAGACCATAGTGTAGCAATTTATCTGAATCATGAACAAGGAACAAAATAGCAGAACAGGGAGGAGTCACAAAGGAATCTAATATTTCAACATAGCAGAAATTGGTTACACTTGAACACTTGTTTAAAATGGCGATCAACCAAAACCACTTGAGGATTGCTTGGCCATCGGCAATACCACAACCTTTTACTGACCTGTTTGTTTGCAATGCAATTCCCTGCCAGGCTAGTCTCAACCTGGTCAAACTTATCAAAGACCTCTTTGATTGCACAAAATCCAACAACTAAAATGGACAGACCACGTTCCTGCTGTCATCAATACTTGAGTCCCATTCTATTCTATTGGAGAGAGAAGGGAGCAAAGAGGGCAGCAAAAGTCAATGTTGGTCGCAGAGAAAGAAGAGGAGAAAGAGAGGGTTGCGGTGGTGAAAGGTACTGGCCATGCACAGAACAGAAGAGATAGCGAGGAAGAAAGGAGGGGGGAAGGGGGAGGAAGAGGAAAGGGAGAGACAAGGCAAGGAGACATAGCCAACAGACAGAGGAAACACAACCAATAGCAGAAGGTTAGTGGCAAAATTGCTAGGTAAAGCATAGGTGTGTCAGGAGTAATGAGGATATGTATTTCACTCCTTTGATGCAAGGAAATACAATAGAGAGAGAGAGAGAGAGAGAGAGAGAGATTTGAACAGGAAAAGTGACAAGGCCAGACATGGTAGTTAAGCAATATAGAAAAGAATGGTTCATTGCCTGAAATATGGACGTGGGGTATACTACTGAGAGGTGCTTGTTCATAGACAATTTTCATCATAGTTAATATCTTTCAAGATTAACCAAAAAGATATTCAGAAATCTCATGGAAATAGGTCAGGAAGCAACATGAATCCCCATAGAAAAAATGTTTGACATAGTTTAAGCAAAGCTTACAACGCACACGATGCTGTAAATTGCCACTACTTTGTTATGAAGAGATAGAAGTTGTGAAGAGATAGAATTACATTTTAACAGAAAGGACTCAAAAAGTAGTTCAACTTAACATCAAAGCAACTAATGACAAGCCATCTGTAGATACACTTCAATATTCATTAAGTTGCAGTTTAAAATTTTGCAAGTAGCAAGATTTCAACTTAAAATAAAAAAGGCATTTGCAACACTAAGATGATGGGAAAAGCAGATTTATCACAAATACCTGGATATAGAACTGCAGATTTCTAATCAAGAAAGTCATATGCTCCCTAACTCGCCACATGGGCAAGGAGCGTCGACGACGATGTTGAGGTATTGAGTTATTCTTGCAGTCCCTTCGATTATTAGCAAAGTCAATGTGATCTTGATGCATTACTGCAGCCCATGATTTCTCTAATTCCATCTGTGTTCTCTTGAGTCTGATCAAATACTGGAAAACCTTGCGATACCTGAACCAGATGTGCTGCTATCATATATAAGACGAACATCATATATTTGCACATGCTTCATATATCACCCAATATGAACATGAGTTACTACAAACTTGATGTTAAGAAAACTTTAATTGATGCCACTCTGAATTTTATAGTCACTATAACCACAGTTATTCTCTTCAGAAGTAATGCAAAATTGCAAACTACAAACTTACTTAGATATCACCTCTTGAGTGAAAAATAGCTGCAATGGCCAATCAACAGAATATTCAAGAGCAACGCCATCCCAACCATCTAGTGATGACTCAACTAAAGTCCTCCCTTGCAAAGGTACCAAGTTTCCATCAGCATTGCTCTTCAGCTTTGGAAAATCCACTTGAGTGGCAGTCATGTTAATTCCAAATGAAGGCATTCTGAATAAGCAAGAACTCACTTAACTCTCAAATTTAAAAAAAAAAAAAAAAATCTATAGGAGACAAAAAAATGTGGTTGTCATTCAATTAACCACTGTAAAGCTTGTAAGGGCATAACCTTAATGATACTCTTGGAAAGTACTTATCTTCGTCACTTACAGTCTTTAATGCAGCCTGCATCAGACAACACTAGATCTGTTACTCTTTTGATATAGAAGTTAGCACAACAGAATCCTATATAGCATGTTCAGATCAGTTAACTACCGAGTAGTTAGTTACATGATACTGTTCTATGTTAAAAAGCTTTAGAGATGAAGCGGAATAATACACAAAAAAAGCTATATAAAATTTTCTTTGTATTAACAGTACTTAAATCTTACCAACTGAAATGGGACCATCAAATCTGCTTCAGCAGTTGACTGACGAGGAGGTAGACGCATCAATTGACGGCTCTCCTCAAGAAAACACTAATGGCTCCCATAGATTGAAATTATGTCAGATAAGAAGTATATACGCTGGACAAATATCTCTATAGTAATAGATAAACAGAAAAGCAAAAGGTTAAGAATAGTAAAGAGACAGTAAAATGCAACTGTTCTGCATATACAGAATGGAACAGGTCCCAATGTGTCCCAAGTTATAGTTCCTTACCTGGAAGAAATCACCTTTCGCTAACAAAAAATAATCCTTTAGGGCTTTCAGGTGGCCATTTAGATCGGCTCGTACAACCACAAGCTTTTACAAGCAAGAATATAAAATTACTACATGACAAAGAACCCAAAATATGCAAAATAGTCATATTGGGGCCAAAAGTTACCTGCCAAAGATGATTAGCTGCAATAGTGCGAATTGAGCTTATAGCAGATTCGAACAACCTTTTCTGAAATTCAGATGATTGCTACATATAATGGGAAAAAAAGTTTAATAGTGCTACAAGATGGCTAAGGTGCATCCATTTAAGCATTGATGTTTTTTTAAACTAGCAAGAGTGAAAATGCAAAAAAATGTGAAACCTTTAATTCTTTAAGCATTGCATCAATTTTATCAGCCTCGGATTGTGGAAGTAAGTCTTCAGCAATCAAATTGGAACTCTGAGGTATTTCTCTTTCGAGACCAAAAGTTCCTAGAAAACCTTGAACTCTACAAGATCCTTTTAACACTGATTGGCGCACAGAGGATTCCTGTAGTCTAAAACTAGAAGTAGGATTTCGAAGAACCTTAACTGCTTTACCAGCAAAAAGAATTGATTCAGCAACACGCATATTTATATACTCTGGTAGCATTTCCTGCATTAATATTGCCAAAATGCAAAGGTGATTAGTGGATTGGTAATAATAATAAATGAGCTTCTTACCTGAATAACAGTGTTAAAGAGTCGAGGCAGTAACTTAAAAGACAACAACAAAACATGCACTAGTAATTATCACAACTCAAATTCTCATGTCTATTGGAATCTAAGCTTAATAGGATAAGCATGTGAATCCCAATGAAAGCAAACAGGAGTCGTATAATTAGATGACCTGAAGAGCAACAAGTTTATCATACTTAACATTGAAAATAACAGGATTATGATATTAAAAATTGTTCACATAATATGACTCAGTGAAGGTGAAAAAAGAAAATGCAATTTGACATTGTGGCATTATGGTTTCTCTTGGTTTGGCATAAAGGTAGTTGTAGCAGGATTCAGCATGATTCTTCAAGTAATTAAACACAAAGAGAAAAACAAAAGCATACCAGTTTAAACTCATCAGAAAGCATGCCATTGACACCGAAGACGGTTATGGCTGAAACAGGATGGAACTGACATCCTGGCTTAGTCTCACATCAGAAGTATGCAAAAACTTGGATTGCCATAAGTGTAACTTTGGCGTAAGGATTCTCAAGAAGTTAAGAAGTCATTCTCATGCTGCTTCATTTTGGGCTGCTGTTGCCTTGGCTTGTTTCATTATGTAACTTTTAGATCACCTTTAAAAAGATGTTCTAATAAATACTTCTTTATATGCAATTAAATCATTAGTTTCCTTCATTTTGTTCTTGTTTGCTAAGGCTTATTTCTTTTCTATATATAGAGATCAACCGGGCCTTGCAAATTAAGCATCATTAAATTAATTGTTTGTTTTATGTTTGTAATAAAGAACTATCACATTGCCATTCAACACTTGTATAAAGATTTCAGCTAGTAAATTGACATTGAATATTTCATGCTTTCGACTCCAACATGTAGGATAGAGTATTCTTGATCAACACATCACAATTTTACATTTCACGATGTGAACTACATGACATAGGTATAATCACATGCTGTAAAGAAATTGCACATAAATGAATCATCCAAGTACAAGCACCAAATAAATCAAATTATATCATACTTCAATTCATTTTAAATTTTGAAACAAAAGAACCATTATAATACCCTGTAATAAAAATCCATGTTGGTGTCAAAGGATACCAATTTGAGGCCTTGGAAGGACAATTTGAGGCCTTGTTTATACCAACCTAAAAATGCTTGATACAAACACTACTGGTTCAAATAACATGGATGGTCATTCTGCAATGAACCTGATGTACCACCCAATTGGTTGGAAACCAAACCATTGAGTGAACATCATGGAATCTGGTTGGAACCAATGAAGTCCTATTACTATATAAACATTTGGTTTAGGGTGGTTTACAAATACACCTCTCTACAAAATTTCATGTGTTCTGTCATGTCTTGTTGGCTCTCCTTCATTTCTTCTCAGCCTCTTGGCCTCTACACAACATAACTTCAATCTCATGAGATAAGTTTCCATTCCACCTCTCATAGGTCCTGCCTCCAGCTTTGGTTTCATTTTTATTTTTTTGGTCCTTTTCCGTTTTCCATGAGGACCAGTGATTTAAAAAGTGCTAGGCGCTCGCCCGAGCGAAACGAGGCACTAAAATATAAAAACATATAATATAATTAATATAATTAATATAATTATTTAAATAAAAATTATGCTATTAAATTAAGAAAATCGGATACAAAATCACAATGTCATATTAATAAAAAGTCTCAAAAATTAAAACAATAAAATTTTACATCAAATCTATTGAGTTGCTCTGTACACTTGCCATTTATTTTGAAACCTAACAATAATTTTAAATAAATAAAAATTAATAGTATTAAAATCAAAATAATATATTATTAATCTAATAAATAAAAATACTATTATTATACTGTTAATATACTGTTAACAGTATTGTGAGAAGAGTGTGAGAAAACCGAGGTTGCTGAGGCCTGAGGCAACGACAGCGGTAGCAGGCGGCAGCGGTAGCGGGAGCGACAAGCAGCGGGAGCGGCGAGCGACGATTGTGGCAGCGGCGAGTAGCAATAGTAGCGGCGAGCAGCGACAGTGGCAACGGCAGCAGAGAGCAGCGACAGCGGAGAAGAAATCTCGGTGGCAAAATCGCGAGTGTTATGGTTGGGGAAGTCGAGGAAATCGCAAGAGGGAGCCTATCGGTGATTCAGTTGGTTCAATTGAACCAACTAAAGCACAAGAGACCGAACCAGACGTAAAACACTGGTTCGGTCGCCTGGTTTAACCCGGGCGCTCGCCCGAAGCGTCCGACGCCTGGGCTCGGGCGAGCGCCTAGGCAGCGCCTCGTTGAATCAAGGCACTTTGACATGAAGCGAGGCGCTCGAGCCTCGCCTCGCCTCGCCAGAGTGCCTAGGCGAGCGCGCGAGCGCCCAAGCGCCTATTGAAAACACTGCCAGTGATTTAAAAAGCGCTAGGCGCCAAAAGACGCCAAGGTCCAAAAACACTTGAGGCGCTAGGCGCTCACCCAAGCGCTCGCCCGAGCAAAGTGAGGCGCTAAAATATAAAAATATATAATATAATTAATAAATATAATTATTTAAAATTTTAAATAAAAATATGCTATTAAATTAATCTAATAAATACAAATACTATTACTAGTATACAGTATACTGTTAACTGTAAATTGTATACTGTTAACAGTATACTATCGAAAGAGGAGAAGAGTGTAAGGGAAGAGTTGGAAGACCGAGGGTGTTGATTGAGAAGAGTGGGAGAGGCAGCTACGAGCGACGACAGTGGCAGTGACAGCGGGAGCAGCAAGCGGCGACAGTGGCATCGACAACAGCGAGCAGCGGGAGCGGCAGCTACGAGCGACGACAGTGGCAGCGGCAGCAGCAGTGGGAGCGGGAACGGAAGCGGCGAGCGGAGACAGTAGCAACGATAGCAGCGGCAGCGGGAGCGGCGATAGCGAGAGCGGCGACGACAGCAGTGGCAGTAGCGTGAAACAGCGAGCAGGGTTAGGGTTGGGGAAGTCACGCTGATATCGGTGCTTTAGTTGGTTCGATTGAACCAACTAAAGCACCGGAGACCAAACCAGACCTCAAATGCTGGTTCGGTCGCCTGGTTTAACCCAGGCGCTCGCCCGAAGCGCCCAGTGCCTGGGCTCGGGCGAGTGCTCAAGCGGCGCCTCTTTGAAGTGTGCCGCCTGGAAATGAAGCGAGGCGCTCGGGTCTCGCCTCGCTTCGCCCGAGCGCCTAGTCGAGCGCCTTTTTAAATCACCGAGAGGAACATAACCAAATCCGTACAAATTCCCCTGTAGCAGATACTGGTGGCTGGAAAGCAGTGGCTTCCATCAAAAGGCAATCTTGTCAATTCATGAGTTTACTAATCAGACTTGTTAAAGGCAGGAGGCTGAATCTACAGCAGGAACCTAACCCAATTATGCCCTATGTCCATAAAAAGCCATAAAAAACTACAAATGTTATCCTTTTAAAGTGTTTAGACTTTGGTATATGTTTCTACAAATGGAGGAATACAACATAAATGTTGATTTCTTAGTCAGTCATTAATCATGCACTAAAAGCTTTAGTATTTACAATTAATGACCCAAGTATTATTTGTTTTATTTAAGACATATGCCCACACTATGTACAGAATGAAATCAGCGAAATAAAACTAATTTTGACCAAGTAGATCAACAACGTATACCAAAGATATATGAAACCCCAAATGCCAATCAGTTAAAGCTCCATCATCAGTTGATTTCTGCATCAAATTTGTGATGTCATCAAGATGAGATAACTCATGGCCCTCAGTCTTCCGATCTTGTCTGCAAAATGACGGAAAGAATAATGAATGCTAACACAACCATTTCTAAACCTAAAATCTCATATTTTAGTGTAGATGACATAGATTCTTTATTGCTATTTGTTCTTGTTTGCATACACGTTACAGCTTGGGATATTCAATATGAAAAAGTTCAAAATGTTTAAATGCTAATGTAACCACTGTGAACCTAAAATCTCATTTTATATATTTATAGTCGATGAAGATCACATAAGTTCTTCTTTGCTACGCAATCTCATTCATAATTAAATTACAGCTTAAGAGTTTCAACATGTTGAATGGCCAAAATAATCATTTCTGGAGATATAGTTAATTCATGAGAAGGACAGGAAAAAGAATGTAAACCATCACAAAAACTAACCAAAACAATTAGATATATATGTACACCACTTAGGTCGCTGCCCTTGGTCTAAGATTCAGTGAAAATGAAATTGTCACCATCATCGGGTACATTAGGAGTTCATTGGCTGAAGGTGAGATGACTTTTGTACATATGAAACCAGAAATATCTGCTGAGAATGAAATGCAGAGCAGAATGATATCAATAGTTTACCACACACTTCCTGGTTCTTGTTACTAGTGTGCCATGTTCTTTTTTCTCATGGTTCCACATTCTCAAGATTCAGTTGCCAACTCAAAAATTTTTTAAATATATCTCCTACATGCTATTAGTAATAATCTTTAACCTGTTCAACCGCCAGAAATTCTGAAAGATTTTCATCCATGCATGTGCAGAGCAAGTTATGAATCTATAAATGCTTGAAAAGCATTATAGCATAATCAAATCCATATGTAGTGCTAAGTATTATTAACAAGCTGAACATGGGTGGGTTCGGACCAAGCTCAAACATATTTGAATAATATTTAAATAAGCTTGGATACATGATGAGCTAAAAAGGCCAACTCAATCCCAACCAACTAGGACTAAGGCATGTTCAAGATATTATTTAGGGCTAAGGACTGAGTAGAGGATCAGACAGTGGAAAATACAGGTCGAGTAGCCTGATTAGATGTCTCACAGACATTAAAATAAGGAAAGAAAAGTGCTGTAGTTTTTCTGCCAGACATAACATATGATATATGTGAATAGAAAGAAAATTTTGACATTAATTTTTGTCAGGTCAAAGAGTCACAGATTTTTAAACTTAAATACCTCTGGATGAAAAACTCTCCATGCTGATCTTGAAGGATACCATATACCATCCAGTATGTGAGTTGGTTGTACATAACCTGGTGACCATGCCAAAGGAGCCTATGCTTTTGCAGATAGAAATCGAGAAATTAATTTAATAAATAAGTTCAAGTTCTAAGTGTAAATGAAACAGTAAGAAAAAGATCCAGACATTTGCCAATCAATGATGAAAAGGATGAACGTGTGCATATATGAAAAGTAAATTAAAATTAGATACAATTTTCTCCTAAATGAGTAATATATTATTTCAATGGTGTGTGTTCACCTCCTATATCATGAGCCTATTACAGGATGGATGTATCCTTTTTCTTCTTTTCGTCGTGTCCATCTAACCCCATGATATTAAGGTCATCCAAGAATACGGTCCACACTCCAACGTTTCTTCTTTAAAAAATTAGAAGAAGAAGAAGAGAATGTTCTTCTTCCCTGAACCTCATAAAAAAAGAAGGAAAAAAACAGCTTAATCTTGCACATTCTCCTCACAAGTATTCGTTTATTATCTTTAGACCAATGTATCTACAAATTCTTGCACTTGACAATTTAGAGGTTTTAATCAACACAATTCAGTTGGAGAATGGCAAATACAAGGTGATCTAATCAGCTTAACAGCCTAAATAGCAAAATGGAAACTCTAATGCATAGTTCACCACTCATTTGAGGCATCACAATGAGTCATCTGTGTCAGGCCTAAACCTGTTGCAGCAAGGTCAAAATTGTAAGATAATCCCACAGATCATCAAAAATCATGATCAGAACATACCAGGCTTTCTCATCCCTTTTTTTCTCCGACTTGTGTGTTGTGTGTGCATGAAAATGAGCAACAACTATTGATCACTTGAGAATGGAAGATTCAGAGATAAATATCTGGATATAATTTTACAGGAAAGAACATGAAACAAATGCTAGAAACATATGAGCTATTAAAACTTTTTTTATAGAAAACCAACTGCATACCTTTGAATGCATGCTTGCAATTCAGGAACACCACAATGGCAACGTTTGTGCAAAAGATTAAGAAGTTGTCCTCCTCGAATATCTTCACGTTCAATTTCCACAATAAGCTCATATAGAGGAGGTAAGAGGACCTCGAACTAAAATGTTTTTGGTTAATTATGATGTGCAGAAATAAATTAAGTAATTGATATGTAGAAACCAACAATATCATATTATTAAACAAATAATAACATGACTTACATGACAACTGTAAAAGAATATTGTTCTTCACAATGATAAAACCAACAGACAATTATTATACTAGTATCTATGCCACTATGCCCATCCTAAGGTAATATTTCCAGATAACTAACACAAGTGGTAGAACCAATTTCTGATGTTCTATTAAGCTATACTAGGAACTGCATCATTAGAATATCAAAAAGATACAGAGACAACCTAGCAGAAAAGGTCACCAAAAGGAATAGTCAAACTTCAGTGTACATCTTTCAGCCCAGGTAAACAATGTGTATATCTTCATTCCAGATTTTTTTTCCCATTCTTTAAGAGACAATATGGGTCAGTGAAACTTTAACAAGTGACTTAATCAGTATTTTCTTCAGGATCATCAATAAGAATTACTGGTATCAAGGTTCTATAGCTGAAAGTGTGAAAAAAATAATGGCGAAAAACTTCATCTGATTTCTCAATTGTGTTCTTTGATGTCATCTTTAATAACTCTTTATCATTATTCATATCAACATGGAGCAAGCAAATGCAATTATCATAATCATTCAGCTAACCTGCAGAAATTATATATTTCAGAAAGCAAAATGGTGCATAAATATTTTACTCTATCTTCTTTCTCATCCTTGTGGGAGATAACTGAAAGTGAAATCAGATCCTTTAAGTAAAATATCATCACATAAACACTCCCACGAAGACTGAGTTAAAGGAGACCCAAATTTAAAGAATCTCCACAGAGCAACAAAGTGGTGCTAGTGTGTTACAGACAGACTACTGGAATAACCAGAAACATGGGTGATCCTTGCTAAATTTGGGAAAATCAATATTCATCATATGTGGAGCAATTCTGATTCATTGTTATAGCCACTCTGCTAAACCATTGCCAAGGACCTCTGTCAAGCCCATACTGCTTCTGATCTTCGGTTGTATGTTCAGTAGCGGAGAAGGCAAAAGGCTTACATTATCAACAACCAGAACCATTATCGTCACCGTAGAGACTGCTCTATAAGGGTTGTAGGCCTGAATGACCCAAGAATCGGCCACATGTGTATATGCATTGTAGTATATCTGTAGGAAACTTGCAGCACTACATTTTGTTGTCAGGTCCTCGGAACACTATTGAACTAGTAAATTTGGCTCATGGTGCGTGATGAGGTTGTCGTGACGGCATGTACAAGCTTTCACCAACATATTCATTCCACGGATAAGACCGTCACAATAATATCTGATGCTCCAGTCTGATAACCCACATGATCAGTGAGACTGGCCATAACTTACCCATATGTCAACATCATCATACCTTGCAATACTTTTCAACATGGTACTTCCAAGATTCACTTGCCTCAAATTATGTCACATCTGTGCATAATGGTTCTTTATTCTGGTCATGGCAAGGAATGATATTTAAGATTTTTGGGTGGGGTGATCTAGCCTCAACATCATCACGACACATGGTGCGGCAATTATGTCTTTCCTCAAGCTGTAGCACATTGGTATCAATGGCTTATAGTTGTTGCATAAGCATTGGTAATTATAGTCAACACAAAGTGTCAGTACAGAGATCAGGTCAGGCTGCAATAATTAGGTCAGCTATTGATTCAAAAGTGTCAATAGTAGGTCAGTTATGCCATTATGGTCGAATCTCAATAATTGGTATGCGAGTCGACCTAATACTAGTCATGGTGAGAGACTCGCGTAGGAAATGACTATCCCACAACTGGGCTAACCCTCGCATGTGGACTACGTTGAGCCTTGACGAGAACGTCAAACCCTTAAGTGGGAGAGATTATACTACCCAAATTAATCCCATATCGGAAGTGGACAAAGACCAACGTTAACTTGTAAGGGTATGATGGGTGTATTATTGTAAACTTGAGCTTAAGTATTTTTGTGTCGGTGATTTAGACTCAATAAAGTTAATAAATCAATTAAATTATCCCATACGGGTCACCTAGATTAGACAATGCAAATGGAGGATAATTGAACCCTAAGAGTGACTATTAACAATAGAGCTAACAGTGATTGTTAACAACTCAATAAAATACATGATGAATAAAACAAATTTCAAAATCATATGAAAGAACTCAGTTTTCCAATCTCAAAGGAACAAGATACCTTGTTGAGGCCTTGGGTTACAGTTGCCAAAATTGGCAAAGGATCAGACAGCAAATTCTGCTCAACCTGAAGAACAGCAGCTCTATAAACTGACAAAATCTCCACAATGCCATTTGCAATGGCCCTTCGATAGACGCTTCCTTTCCTCGGTTTCCCTTTCAGAAGTTCAGGACTGTGAGGCAGAGAGAAATCTTTTGTTGACTGTATGAAACTTAAATTCCGAGATATGGTTGCAAAATGATCAAGTTCCCTATAGTAGAAACCCAATGATATGAGTCTCTGGATAACATTCCTGCAAACAAGTTTAAATAGGTAATCAGATAACAAGAATCCACACCTTTTACATGCAAACATTACCAATTTTTTGAAAAGAAATTATATGAAAGGTATAATGTAAAGAAACATTGAACCAAGAGGTAAAAACTGAGGAAATACCACTAGGAAAAAAAATGAGATCCTCTTGGCTTTTAAGCTAGTAAACAGATTAAATGGTTGACAAGCTTTGGCCTTTTCTTGAAACTGGTATCACAACTATTAAGTGCTGATGCAATCGTGGAATCAAGATTAATTATGTCACCGTTGGCAATCAAACTATGAACCGGTTCACCCTCCATCATCGGCAACTACCAAGCACTACGCAGTTGAGAGCAAGTCCAAATCTCTTCCCCATTAGATACATGGGCAACACTTAACCATACTAAGGTAAACTTCACCAGCAACACCACTACTGCAACAGCGACAAGTACCAACTCAATTCGTGAATCATAACCATCCCAGAATGGGCCATCGATGATGCATTGATGACTAAGAAACTTGCAAAATCCTCGGTGATAACGTCCATAACTAGGAACCCTAATTGGGATCGCAAGTAACTTGCAAGCAAAACCATCCGATACCACGATTCGAGAAGACAGAAGCCATTCTTCGAGGTGCCAGTGGAAGATGATCGCATAGGAGGAAAAGCGGAGATATACCTTTCGGAGGGGTGGAGAAAGGAGAGATCGGGGGCGAGTCTAAAGGTGGGCTCGTCCGGGAACTGGTGGAGCGGATTGTCTGCGGCGCCCAAACCTAGGGTCTCGGCCTGCTCCCTCTCGTCGATCACGAAGTCGCCCGTGAAACCAAGGAGCGCGAGGAGGAGCTCGTGAAGCATCTTCCTGTCGCGCTCTCACTCCCCTCTGCTTCTCGCTGGTTCTATCGTTCTATAGGCGCGGCGGCGCGATGCCATTTCAATTCTCGAGTCGGAATTGCTGCTACTGCGATTTGAGTCAGGTTCGGCAGCACGGGCGGTTTGGTTAGATGGGGTTGAACGTGTTGAGCTCAGCTCGTTACGGTCTCGAGTTCGTGTTAGTGTCCACGATAATGGAGACTGTAGGAAAGCCCAAAATTAGGTTTGGATGTATATGGGCTGCCAGCGATGGCCCAAAAGAATAAAAAGTTGTGGAAGAAAAGAAAAGAATAAAACGAAAAAAGAGAACGGCCGCCTCCCTGCCTTATCCGATCTAATGCCGCCTGCTCTTCTTACCCCTTCCCAGCCCCATTCAGTCATTCATTCATCCATCCATCCATCCATCCATTTGATAGCGCTCGTCATATAGATTGTGGAACCCTTTCCACCCAAAACCCCCCTCTCTTGCCTTCCTTTCCTCTTCTCCCACTCCTCTAGTCGCTCTCCTCCTTGTTGATGGCGTCCGAGGCGAGCGGCGAGCCATTCTTGGCCGAAGCAAAGGGAGCCCCGATGAGGAGCGAGCCCGACGAAGACGCAGGAGGGGACGGGGCTCCCCGTGCCGCCGTGGAGCCGGAAAAGGAGAACAGCGATGCCTCGCCCCCCGCCTCGGCCGCGGCCGGAGACACCTTGACGACCACCTCCTCGATTCCTGTAGCACAGGAGACTCCGGACGACGACCCCGACGAGGAGGCGTTCCAGGAGGCGCTGGAAGATGGGGACGACGATGCCGTTGATGGGTTGTCAGATGCCGCCAAAGCTTCAGGCTCGACGGATGATGTTGAACTCATGGAAGGAGAGGAAAAAGGTGAGCCCCCGTCGGAGACTCAGGTTTTTGCCACCGTCCAAGACAACTCCCAACATGAGATCGTGGAAATGGTGTCAAGTGAAAACCCTAGGACAGAGGAGACTTCACATGGTGAGGTTTTGGCGGCTGTGGTGAAAGAGTTGGTGGAGAATTCCACTTCGCAAAGCACCGAAACGAAGCCAATCGAGGATGGTGCTGTCGTGGCTGGAGGTGTGGATGGCGACGAGGAGGTCGGACTCCACGATGCCCAAGAGGGGAGTGATGAGGACTTGGTCGAGGAATCGGGAGAGTCTGCTGTCGCTACTATTGATGCTGTTGAGGATGAGAGACATGGAGCCGAACCTGATGTTGTGGATGAGGTGAAAATTGGTGTTGCTGTAGCCACAGTTTCCGATCAAAATGTCTACCCTGCTTGTATACCTGCCACAGAGGAGATGGAGACAGTAGAGAATCCCACTTTGCGCATCGAATCAAACCCAGTCGAGGATGAGACTTCTGCAGCTGGAAATGTGGATAGGAATGTGGAACAAGCAGAGCCTGATGATCAGGGAAAAGATGGAAGCTTGGTTGATAATTTGGGAGAACCTGCTACGCCTGTTGTCAATGTGTTACCGGAGTCAAAGACAGCAGAAGACGAGTTTGATACTTCTGAAGAAGGGACAGGCGGAGGCAAAGCTGATACGGACGAGTTTGGATCTGTCTTAAGTAATTCTTCTATCCAGGAGACAGTGGATGAGACGCTAACAAAAAAATCAGATCAAGCTGCAAATGAATCTGAGGCAAACATTGATGAGCCTGTGCCTGAGTTGGTTCCAGAAGGGGAAAATTCAATATCAGTTCAAGATAGGCAATCTCCATCTATCACTGCTGGGGAATCAAGAAACAGGGTGACCGAAAGAGATGAGTTTGGGGCTTCTGGTGCCAATGAAGATGGAACTGCTCGATTACCAACTTCAGTGACAGAACCAGAACCAACACCGTGTGAAGAATTGACCGATCATGTGCAAGACCTTGACCAGGAGAAGGCAGAGGACGAAGACGAAAACTTAGTTTCTGATGGACCACCTAGGGTGGCAATATTGGCGAGCTCAGAAACTGCAAAACAGCTGATAAATGAATTAGAAGATGGCTCTTCTAGTGTCACCCCTCATTCAGCATTAGATGGCTCAAAGGATGTAGATGGCCAGATTATTTTGGATTCAGATGAAGAGTTAATGACTGACGAGGAGGACGGAGGAAATGAAATGATTGATTCTGACGCATTGGTTGCACTTCTGAAAGCGGCAAGCAGTTCCACTGCTGATGGAGGTATCAGTGTCACTTCTCAAGATGCTAATAGAATCTTCTTGGTCGACCGTCCAGCTGGTTTGGGGTCCTCAATTCCATCTCTGAAACCTGCTCCTCGTCCTGCAAGATCAAACCTTCTTAGTCCTTCTGAACTGGCTGTAGCAGCAGAGCCTGATAATCAGATGACTGAGGAACAAAAAAAGTTGCATGAGAAAGTTGAGCTTATTAGGGTGAAGTTTCTACGTCTTGTTCATAGGTTGGGCCATTCACCTGAAGACACGGTGGTAGCCCAGGTGCTATATCGTCTGAGTCTTGCTGAAGGTATTCGTAGTGGAAGGCAAACCAGCAGGGCTTATAGTCTTGAGAGTGCAAAAATGAAGGCTTCGCTGCTAGAACAGGATGGAAATGCAGATTTGGATTTTTCCTGTAACATTCTAGTCCTTGGAAAGAGCGGAGTGGGCAAGAGTGCAACTATAAATTCTATATTTGGTGAAGAGAAGTCTCCAACCAATGCATTCAAACAAGAAACAACTTCTGTCAAAGAGATTGTAGGAACCGTTGAGGGGGTTAAGATTCGGGTTTTAGATACTCCAGGTCTTAGAGCTTCAGGAATGGACCAAGCATCAAGTAGGAGAATCTTGGCATCTATAAAGAAATACACGAAGAGATGCCCTCCAGACATTGTTTTGTATGTGGACCGAATGGACACACTGACCCGAGATCAGAATGACTTGCCTCTGCTAAGAACAATTACAAGCACTTTGGGTTCATCCATATGGTTCAACGCCATTGTTGCTCTCACACATGCTGCATCTGCTCCTCCGGATGGACCAAGTGGTTCCCCTTTGAGCTATGAGGTGTTTGTGGCTCAAAGGTCTCATGCTGTTCAGCAGTCCATAAGGCTAGCAGCTGGAGACATGCGTCTGATGAATCCAGTGGCTCTTGTTGAGAACCATCCATCTTGTAGAAGGAACAGAGAGGGACAAAAAGTGCTCCCTAATGGTCTATCATGGAGGCCACAGATGCTGCTGCTCTGTTACTCTTCAAAGATATTATCTGAAGCTAATTCACTTCTAAAGCTTCAAGATCCATCTCCTGGAAAACTGTTTGGTCTCCGTTTACGTCCCCCACCGCTTCCCTTCCTGCTTTCTTCTCTGTTGCAGTCCAGAGCACACCCAAAACTTCAATCCGATCAACATGGTGACAATGAAGATTCTGATATTGACCTAGATGACTTATCAGATGCTGATCAAGGGGAACAAGAAGAAGAGTATGATCAACTTCCACCATTTAAGCCCCTGAGGAAGTCTCAAATTGCCAAGCTGACCAAGGAGCAAAGAAGAGCATATTTTGATGAGTATGATTACCGAGTTAAGCTTCTTCAAAAAAAACAGTGGAAGGAGGAGCTCAGACGATTGAAAGAGATGAAGAATAGACAGAAAGGGTTTGAGGATGATTTTGGGCATGCTGATATGGTTGAAGATTTTGATCAGGATAATTCCCCTGCAACCATACCTGTCCCTTTGCCTGATATGGTATTGCCACCTTCTTTTGACTGTGATACCCCAACGTATCGATACCGTTTTCTAGAGCCAACCTCACAGTTTCTTGCTAGGCCAGTACTGGATACGCATGGTTGGGATCATGATTGTGGTTATGATGGGGTAAGCCTTGAAGAGAGCCTCGCTGTTGCTGGCCGATTTCCTGCTGTCTTATCAGCTCAAGTGACTAAGGACAAAAAGGAATTCAGCATCCATTTAGATTCCTCTGTCTCGGCCAAGCATGGGGAAAATGGTTCTACTCTCGCTGGCTTTGATATCCAGGCTGTTGGAAAGCAACTTGCTTACATTCTGCGGGGTGAGACCAAGTCCAAGATATTGAAAAAGAACAGGACTACTGGAGGGATCTCCGTAACTTTCTTGGGGGAAACCATAGCTACTGGATTAAAGTTTGAAGACCAACTTTCTATTGGGAAGCAAGTGAATCTTGTTGCAAGCACTGGTGCTGTTCGAGCACAAGGTTATACTGCATATGGAGCCAATTTGGAGGTGCGACTCCGAGATAAGGATTATCCCATAAGCCAAGCCCTTGCCACCTTGGGGTTATCTTTGATGAGTTGGCATGGTGATTTGGCTTTGGGTGCAAACCTGCAGTCTCAATTCTCCATTGGGAGGAATTCAAAGATGGCAGTTCGCGTTGGGCTGAACAACAAGCGGACTGGGCAGATCACTGTCAGGACGAGCACCTCTGAACAACTTCAACTTGCACTCGTGGGTATCATACCCATTGCAATCTCTATCTTCCGGAGCATGAAGCCCGGTGAGTCTACTGTCTTAAAAATATCAGTGGAATAAGACACTTTAACTCTCTCCAGTTTCAGCATAACTTCTTTTGTAGCCTCTTTATGTTCTATCTATTAATATTTGCAGTTCTCAAATTAATTTTGGTCCATGATTTCTTAGGATTATGATACTTGGTTGTAGAACTAAGTTTGAATAAAAGCAGGAATAGTTCATTTTCAATTTAGTTCATATGTAAGATAAGTGCATTATTTTTTTGTTCTTCTAATGCTAAAGGCGTTCATGCTTGTGTGCTCTGAGGTAGCTTGTTTTGGACTGTTCTGATGCTGAATGTGTCAGTTGACCTTTGAATTTTAAGCGAACTATTTCCATTATTAATGATTTTGGTAATCAATCTGTGAACATTAGCTATTTTCTTGTGTAATGAGGATTTTTAAATCAGTTATTTCGTTTATAGCTATCAGTTTATAACTGGAAAATAATTACTCACATTCACCTCAGTTTGCTTCGAAAATAGAAGATTGTTGGTTATGAGCTTGAGCTGTCCTATCAGTGCTGCTAGCAGTCCACTATGAAATCAAAGAATTGGTATTTTGCTTTGCACACCGATGTAGTTCTAAGCTGAACCCTGCTGA